AATTTTTTTTTAAATAATTGAATTTTTGTGAAAATGTTTTTTTTTAAAGAATTTAATTGTTGGGAAAAATTTTTATTAAAAATTTTTTTAAAGAATTGAATTCCTGTAAAGAATTTTATTTGTAAAAATAATTCAATTGCGGAGAAAAATATTATTATTCATGAAAATAATTAATTTCTTGTGAAGAAATTTTTTTAAATAATTGAATTTCTCAGAATTTTTTTTTTTTTTGAAAATAATTAAATTCCATCGAGAAATTTCATTAAAAAATTTTAAATAATTGAAATCTGACAAAGAATTTAAAAAAATTCTTTTTTAAATAATTGAATTCCTGTGAAAATGTTTATTTTTAAAAAGAATTGAATTCTTGGGAAGAATTCTATTAAAAATTTCTTAAATAATTGAATTTTGCTTTGAAGAATGTTATTTTTTACGAAAATAAATGAATTCTTTCGAAGATTCTTACAAACATTTTTGCCAATAATTGTATTTCTAGGAAGAATTTTATTTTTTACGAAAATAATTTTATTCTACGACCAATATTATTGTAATTTTTCAAATTTATAAAAATTTTTTAAATGATAGAATTTTTAAAAGAATTTTATTTAAATTTTTCGAAATAATTGAATTTCTCAGAACTTTTTTTTTCAATTCTCTAAATATATTTGAATTCTTTGGAGAAAGTTTTTAAAAAATTGGTGCGAAGAAATATATAAAAAATTGGTAAGTATTTGAATTTCTGTGAAATTTTTATTAAAATTTTGTTTAAATAATAGAATTCTTTTGTATAATTTTAGTAAAATAGTAAATATTAAAAATAATTGAAATCAGGAAAATTTTTGAAATTTTGCCAACAATTTTATTAAATAAAAAACACCAAAATTCAGAATGTTCTTATAAATTCTAAAAATTAAATTTTTTCCAGTACTTTTAATAAAAATTCCTGACTTTTCCCTGACTGCCCTGATTTGTGGCAACCCTGTTGCAGCATTTTTGCTGTTTTTTTTTTTTGTTGTATTTTTTATTTCACAAATAATTACGACACTTTCAATTCGGCAGGACATTTTTTTCTCAATTTAACACCAATTTTATAAATCATAACAAACGTTAATGCCTAATCATAATTAATTTTATTATAATTTCATTCAAAAATTACTCTATCAATTTTTTTTGTAAAATATTTTTCCAAGATATTTTTACATATTGTCAATTGTTATATTTAAAAATATCTTTTTATTATTGCAAAAGCTTAAAAATTGCTATACAACAAAGCGGAAAAATGAGAATAACGAATTTTTTTCAATATTCGTTCTGGAATTATAATGGCATTAAATAATCTTTTAAGAAGTTGTATTATCATTTAATCGAAAGTTATGGAGCATATTGAGAAAGCAATGTCTTTTATAGCCACCTTGTGTGTTTATAACAGTTGCTAAGTAGAATGGAAGAGACTCATATTGAATGAAAATACCCATTGAATGTGTATTTACTTGCATTTGCATATAGTAAAAGATTGAAATATTTCGCATCTCATAATCATGAGCATATTATTCGATTCATTTTGAAGAAGAGAAAAAAAACGAAACAACCGTAGAAAAAAAAGAACAACGCATTTTAAAATGAAAAAATCGTACTACAAAACGATATCACGCGCACAACTATACTCTATACACAACTATAAAACTTTGAGCAAAAAAAAAAAAAATCCCTCGACTAAAATTAAACATATTGTATGGTATAAAGAGTCTCAACGAAAGAAAGATCATTTTAGCATTTTACACTCTCCCTTCAATTATAAATCGTTCGTCGCACGTACAGAGTGAAAAAGAATTTCAAATGACACACTACAAAAACATTTTTAGAATTCTTTTTTCTTTTTCGCAAAAAGAAAATTAGTTTTTAAAAAAGAATTACTCTTTTTAAAAAACAATTTCTGTTTTAAAAGAGAATTTCTTTATCCAAAAAGAATTACTTTTTAAAGAAGAATTTCTGTTTAAAAAGGAATTTCTTTTTCAAAAAGAATTTCCGATTAAAAAAGAATTACTTGGAAAAAATTTTCTTTTTCGAAAAAGAAGAATATAATTATTCACAATTATTAAAAATTATAAAATCAATTTCCTTATTTACAGAAAAATATCTATACGATAGACCTATATTATTCAGTTTTCGTTGTAAAAATATAACCTAAGAACTGATTCTTTCATTATTATTTTTCATCACTCTATTTCAGTCAGTATATCTACCTCATCTTTCTAAAAAACTATTTATATTATAATCTCTCTCTGAACGTTCAAACACAAACATATTTTTTAAATCAAAATATTAAAAAAAAAGTTATCATTACTATTAATTATTAAACCCGAAATTATTGTAATAAAAATTTAATTTCAAGAAGAAATAAATATTTTCTTAAATTACTGATTGCATTTCAGTTGCAAAATAATTCATAAAGTTTCTAAATGTAACGATTTTTTTATTTATTTAATTAAAATTTTTATTTTTAAATTAAATAAATTAAATTTTTGCGTCAAAAAAAATTAATTATTAAATTATTTTAATTAAATTTAATAATTAATAAATTTTGATAAAAAGAAGAAAATTTTCAAAGACGCAAAATTATTGTAATAAAAATTTAATTTGGAGAAAAGTAAATAAAGTTTGTTAATTTGAACATTCAGAACTTCAGGATTTTAAGTATAAAAATTTACAACTAAATTACAATATTACGCTTTTGTGTAAATAACGAAAGACACTATATGTAAACGAAGGTAAAAAAGGACAAACAAAAACATGTAAACATGAGTTTTAAGATAATATAGGTAGAAAGCTATAAAAAAAGGAGATTCTATACAAATATCATTTAGATTCCTCCCCATCGACATTCTAGCTAAAAGTCACAGCTCTGTTTTCCTTACTTTTTTATATAAAAAAAAATAAAAATAATCGAAGAAGGCAGTAAGACAAACTGAGTTTCAAAATTGCATTTCTTTATAAGAATATGCGCCCCTAATCTATTTCTAATTTATTTTAACGAGAAAAATAGTGGAAAACAATCTCAAGTTCAAAAATACCAAATCTACATTTGGCACTATTTGCAAATTAGAATAAAAAATATAATATATTTGAAAAAATAAAATTTACCGACAAAAACAAAATTGTCGTTGTTGATAAAAAAACACAGACATACACACACAGGGAAAATATAATATTTTTGATAACACGAAATATAATTTTCAAAAACTTAAATAGAATAAAAAAGCCGAAACAATTTTACGAATTATTTCTATACGAAATTTTTCAATTATTTTCGATTTCAATTAACTTTTTTCGAAAATAAGTAATTAAAAAAGAAAAGTTTCAATTATGAAAAAAGTTCGCATTTTTTTTTTCTTAGCGCATTGTTTTTCAAACTAATTTGCTTTAAATTATTTTATTATAAAAAATTTAAAAATAATTTGATTTGTGAAATTGACTTTTACTTATAAAATAAAAAAAGAAAAAAAATTAATTACACCCACAAGAGTCTTGGCTAAAAATTAACACTGGAAATAAAGTAATTTCTAATACAAATTATTCGTTAAAAGTGTCTTGATTATTCTCAATAATTAATTAATTATTAATAATTATTCCGAATTTATTTTTTAATTTAAAAAAATTTATTCTCAAATTTTTACTTAATCAGTAGTAATTATTTTTAATGACTAATTAATTATTAATAACTATTTCCAAAAATAATGTTTTCTTAAATAATTATTTCCAATAACTAATTTTTTATTAATAATTATTATAATTATTAATTATTAATTAATTATTATAATTATTCGCAATACTTAATTCTTTATTAATAATTGTTTTGAATAATTATTTATTAATTAATCTCAATAATTAATTATTATTAATAATTAATAATTGTTCATTATTGTTAATAATTATTAATTGTTAATTATTGTTAATATTGGTAATTAATAATTATTGATATTAATTATTCTCAAAAATTAGTTATTAATTAATTTAAGAGAAATTTAAAAATATAAACATTTTTGTTGAGATCACAACGCTCAAAACAACGATTTAAAAGAAAAAATATTTTTCTCTTGGTAAAGTTTTGTCAGAAATTTTTAGAATTTCTTGAGCAAATATTAAGTAAAATGTAAATTTCAAAACAAAAATTTAATTGTTTTTTCGAGATGAAAAATATTTTTCTTCAATCTGCGTGAACAGAAGCGAAAATAAAGAATAATTATTTTGGAGTCTAATGGTAATTTTTTTAAATTTACTATTAGCTTTTACATTTCAAGATGTCCCGAAAAATTTGAAAATTCAAACAAAAGACAATTTTTTTTCTAAATTTGAATTTAACATTATTAATTAATATTTAATATTAATATTAATAATATATTAATTAATATTGTTTGTATATTATTAATAATAACTGAATATTAATATTATTTTCACTTCAATAAATATATAATAATTTTTGTTGAGAATATTTAAGGAAAAAAAATTTAATTCATTTGAATCTTCAAAAATTTTAAGAGAATCAATTAAAAGATTTATTTTTACAAAAAATTAAATTAATAATAAAAACTTTGAATTTTTTTGCAATGATTTCCAGTGTAAAATTTTAGCACACGAATAAAAATATATTTCTGAACTACACTAACTAAACGTATTTTAAAAAAAATATTAGTTGAAAAAAAAATTTTTCATGAGTAGAAAATAGAAAAATAAAACAAAAAGCTAAAATCTAATTCTAATCTCTCTCTCTCAAACCTTTAGAATATATAGTTCAAGATGTGTAGAAAAAAGTTTAGATTACCTAATGATACCACGTGTTTCATCAAGAATATAATTCTGATTTCTGAACTGAATCACAGGGAGCGAAGCACCATTTTTCTTAGTATTTTTTTTTCTTCATTTTTCTCAATAGCAATTATATTATGAAAAAATTTGTAAAATATCTCCGCTAAAAAAAATTGCAACTACCCGTTCTTCTATTATTATCACAAGGAAGCATTTTCTTTTTTTTTTTTCATTTTTTACACTGAAGAAATTTGAGCTAACATTTGTTGGAATGTAGTCGTGCCAACGCTTGTTGACATTTGACTAATACTGTTAAATAAAGCGTCAGCTTGAATATTTTCCGGTAGCCTTGTTAAAAATTGCGCTCCCCTGACAAAGTCCATTTTCAATAATTCCTCCTGATACAAATTCAATACACCAAGTGCAGTGCGAAATAAAAATTCATCGCCATCGCGTAAAAATATATCCCATATTCTCGATGCAACATCAAGTGGCATTGCCTTAGCATAAACAGTGTACAACCAATCGAGTAGATATAAATCTGGACTCAAGCCAGCAATTTGAAAATGAGAATAGATCTTTGGCAATTTATTGGCAAGTGCACTCGAATAAACCTTATAATAGATACTCATTTGCTTTTGATCCAAGCTAAATGCCGCATGATGACAGGGACTATTCAGAAGATTTGCAAAACATGTAAACGCATCGGTTGCATCCATATTTAATGTAAGAACACCGCCAATGAAACTCATTCCCTGTACGTAACCAATATCGGGACGATAGACAGCGTACGATGCCAATACACTCTGTAAACTTTCAGCTAATGGTCCACCGTCTTGAAATACACACAACGATGAAAATGTTCGTGAAACATCTAATTTTATAGCCGCTAGTGTTTCATTTATTGGATTCGATAGTGCACGATCCAAGCAGAGATTATACAAATTTGCCGTTATATTCAAATTATTGGACATTGCCAATTTCCAAACTTTACCACGAACACTTGGTGGTAGACCACGCCACCATAGATCACGTACTTTTTTTGTATTCCTCACTGTTTCGAATTGTGACAAAACTTGTGTATTCCACATCAATGAATCCTCAGCGAGTCTTTGTTCTTCGCGCAATTGTTGTGCTCTTTGATTTTTTCGCTCGCGCTCCTCTTTTAATTCACGTTTTCTCGCCGCTTCTAAAATTGCATTATACTGTCGTCTGTGATTCTCCTCTTCGATTGCACTTTTTGCGGGTAAATTTGCAGGTCTTGGTTGTTGAATAAGTGCAAGACTACCGCCAATACGATCGACATTTCTTGTTGGACTCGTGGCACTTGGGGAACGTTCTTTACTCTTCCATGAGAAGACATTTTTCACAAAAGAAGTATTCAACGGCCAAAGTTTACCTTTTTCTGGCGATAATTGCTGTTGTTGTTGTTGTTGCTGTTGCTGCTGTTGTTCTTCTTGAAAACTTCCCGATGGTGAAAATTCACTCAAAGATGAAACTGTGCTACTGCAGGAAAGTGGTAAACTATTTCTTGGACTGTCATTCAAACTATTTGTCTCCTCCTTTAAATCGCCATCGACTCGAGAGTTAACGAATGAGTTTTTATTGAAATCATTCGGGAAATCGAAAGTTTGATTCTTATTTGTTTGTTGAAAGATATTTGAGTTTTGTGTTTCTTCGTAGATATTTTTTAGGCACGAATTGTAAGTTAACGGCATACTCTCGAGGGTTTGATTTAAACTTGATCCGGCAACTCCAACGGAAATTGTATTGCCTGCATCGTACCATTTGTTTTCTCTTATATGTACACAAGTGCTTTTTGTTTTTGGTGTTGTTACTGGTGTCACGTCGCAAGCTAAAGCTTCGTCGATTTCTACACTGTTGCAACATATTGTACCTCCGTTTAAAGAAACCAACTGCTGTTTTCCCAAACCTACAAAAAAATATTTTTGTACAAATTCCATAATTGTTTTTTTTTTCTTCTAAAAAATCTGCTATCCATCAATTTTATCCAGAAGCTTACATCTCAAAATATCATAGAAAAAAATTTCTCTAAAGTGTTGATGGTTCAAATAAACGAAATTCTATATACTTTCAAAAATTATTCAATTGAAAAATAATGTAAATTAAATATTTTAGACTTCGCACTTAATAATTAATTTTTAAAAAAAAGTAGAAAAAAATAGCTTTAAGACTAAAAAAGTGGCTATCGAAAAATTAAATTTGCCAACTTTTTTCTTATCCCGCTAGTAATTTCAATTCTAAATGTTTGCAAAATTCAATTATTTTCTAAACTTTCAATTAAATTTCTTCAAAAATAATTTTTGAAAGTAAAATAATAAAATTCCTTAAAATTCTTTAAATAAAAAAATTTATTTAATTTAAATTTGAAGAAGTTTCTAAATACTAAATTGAAAATTTAAATAAACGTTTAATTTTTACGAGACTTTAAATATATTCAAAACATTTTAACTTAAATTTTTCAAAAGAGTAATTTTTCTACATAATTTTAAAAAATTTACATAAATTACTCAAAATAATTTTTATTTAATAAATATATATACACTTATTTATTATTCCACAGGAATTAATATTTTTAATAATTTTACTGTAAAATCTTTTTGAAATTTAACTATTTCTCAAAATTTATAATATAACGCGTTTATTATTCAATTATTATCTAAAAATTTTAATTGAAATTCATTTTTAAATCAATTCTTATCAGAAAGTTCTACAAGAATTCAATTCTTCAAATACAAAAAAAAATAATTAATAGAATAATTAATTAATTTTTAAAATTTAATAAATAAAGAATTTTATGAAATTTTTTTTAAATAATTGAATTCATTCGAAGAATTTTTATAAAAATTTTGAAAATAATTTCATTTTTCGAGAAATTTATTTAAAATTGTATTAATAATAATAAAAATTTTCTAAAGGATTTTATTATTTATGAAAATAATTGAATTCTTGCAACGAATTTTATTACATTTTTTTTTTAAATAATTGAATTTTATGAAAAATTTTGTAATTTAATTTAAATTTAAGAATTTATTTATTCAAATACAAAAATAAATAATTAATAGAATAATTAATTACTTCTAAAAATTTAATACTTATAAAGAATTTTATGAAAATTTTTGAAAAAAATTGAATTCATTCGAAGAATTTTAATAAAAATTTTGAAAATAAATACATTTTTCGAGAAATTTATTTAAAATTGTATTAATAATAATAAAAATCCTCTAAAGAATTTTATTATTTATGAAAATAATTGCAGTCTTGCAACGAATTTTATTAAATTTATTTAAAAAATAATTGAATTCTATGAAAAATTTTGTTATTTGTAAAAATAATTGAAATTTTTTGAAGAACTTTATAAAAAATTAAAAGCATAAATTAAATTATTTCGAATAATTTAATTAAAATTGTATTAAAAATAATTGAATTTTTTTGAAGAATTTTATAAAAATTTAAAGGAGTAATTCAATTATTTCGAATAATTTAATTGATATTGCAGTAAAAATAATTGATTTCTGTCGAAAAACTTTCTTCAAAATCGTATTTCAAATAATTGAATTTCTGTGAAAATTTCTGTATACTAATTTAATTTTCGCGAAGAATTTTATTAAATGTTTTAAAAATAATTGCATCCTTTTGAGAATTTTTATTAAAATAGTAGATTTAGTAAATACTTGAATTTCATTATTTGTGAAAATAATTGAATTCTTGCGAAAAAATTTTTGTAAATAATTGAATTGATTTAAAAGAATTTTATAACAAAAATTTTGAATTGTTTCTAAGAATTTTATTAAAATTGTTGAGATTAATATTTTGTACCTATATAGTGCAAATTTTCAAAAAGAAAAAAAAGTGGCTTTTAGTGTCACAAATTTAAAAAAGTATCCAAATAGTAGCTAATCGTAAAAAAGGTGGTAAATATTAGGTTTTAGTAGATGAGTGCAAAGCCTGATAGTTAGTACAAAATTATTTTTTTTAATATACTTTTTTTTAAATGCAAATCAAAAACAATTAAAAAAATATAGTTCGTTTGAACGTTCGAAACTTTAGGAACAAAAAAGGAAAAGAAAGAATAATAAATTTTAAAAATAAAAAATTAAATATAAAATTGAATTTGAAATGCATTATAATAATTAACATCTTCTTTGAATTATTCAGCGAAGTAACATAAAATTTTTAACAAATATCGAACGGTTCAATTTTTAAATTCATGACACTGTTTTCCAAGAAAATAGAAGATGAAAAGTATTGATTTATTATAAATAGGTAAAGAACTCAAAAAAAACTGAACTATCGTCTCTCGAATGTTACGAAATTATTTGGCACACTACAAATTTAAACGAATTCACAATGAAAATAAAATTCAAACATAAAATCCTAATAAAACTAGTCTAAGCTACTTTGTAAGCCTCTGAATAAAATGAATAAAATGAAAACAAAAATCTTTTCATGAAAACTTACTATTATTTGGAGGATGAAAATTAGTTGTTTCAATTCGTCCCGATTTATTCGTTCGTGATTTTTGTCTATCGAGAATTTTCAAATGTCCATTTTGATGTCCATTGGCCAAATTAACACTTTTGCTTACAGATTGCGATGAGGGACTCTTCATAGCTATTAATTCCAAAGAGAACCTAACCTCACTTTTTTACATCTTTCAAGTTGAACGCATTTATCGTTTCCAAAAGATCTCAAAAATGTACTCCATGTATTCTTTAATTTCTTCAATCATTTCTCAACACTTTTTTCCTTCAAAGAAATTGACAGTTGAAAATTAGAATTTTCCTTTACAATTCTCCCCAATAATGATTCACCAGCTGTCAAAATGAAATGTCAAATCGGACAATTTCACTTATATTCACGCACTGCAGTAAAATTTTGCGACAAATTCATTATACTTAGGTAAATGTGAAAATCGAATAAAATTCTTACTTTATTTCAAGGAATGAATGTTTAGATAAAGAGTGAACATTCCACGATAAACTCTGGTAGTTGTGGAGATTAAAGAACTTTCAATAATCACATTTCACATCCACACTCAATCATTTACATATATGTGTTTTATTATTAAAACGTTGTGTGAGTCGTTAAAGCGCACGTATTGTACGCAATACGCAGAATCAGCTGTTTCTCATGAGAAAAAAGAGTAAAAAATCTCTCCTCCACTTGTCTCCCTAGTATCTCTATGGACCAATATGGACCAAGAGAAGTGATGGCGCGAAAATAGTAAAATCTCAAAAAAAAATGGTCACGAAACGCGAGAGTAAAAAATTAAGACAGTTTTTCTGAATATGGGTCGAATTTTTACTAATTGGACTAATCATATAAAAAAAAAATTTTATATTTTTTTGACACATTAGGGGCCAGGGGGGCAAATAAAAAATATGTTGTCAGATATTAAATGTTCTCAAATATATAATATTTTCTAGTCTTTTGTATATTCCACAGCTTTGTGAAATTATTTTTAACTTCTCTGGACTATTATTTCGTTCTAAAAGTAAAGATTATAATAATATTCTACCTTTGTTTGTACTTGTGGTACCTGTAAACATTTGTTGCTCTTTTGAGATCGTTGAGATGAAAACAAAAACATTGGTGGCGACTGAGGCGACATTTTCCATGAACTAACCTCCTCCGATCCGTTGCAATGTACACTATACACTTACTTTTGTCAAAAAATAGATCATAAATAATCTTAGATTGACAATTATTTACACACACACGACACTTTTATTAATTTATTCGCGAAATTATTAACAAATATTACCGAATCATCGACATTTTTATTGAAAATTTAGCAAAGAAAAATGAGAAAACGTTGCATGGAGGACAATGTGTTACGGGGTTCACACGACCGGCGCGCTACAACTTATAACAAAAAATAAACTTTCATCCACTTTGTCAATGTAAATATTTAATAAATTCTTTAAAATCACTTAATGGGGATACTTATTAACGCGAAATTTACTATTTTCGATTGATATATCACGTTGAACAAACAAGAAATAACGCACGATGATGAGCAGCAACAATGGCGTCTGCCGGCAAACTGTGAGAATAACGGCGGAAGTGCGCAGGTCAGCAAAATACTTTCAAACCTGCGCGCGAAAAAGTAAAACAGCAAAATTGAAAAAAGCAACCAAATGCTTTAATTAAAGATTGTTTTATGCTACCCAATATTCAATAATTGTTTATACATTAATTCTGAACTTTAATTAACTTTAAATTTCTACTCAATTATTATCTATTCGTAAAATATTGAACCTTGTTTTTGAACACTTTCCTGTGTGGAATAAAAGATAAATATTTCTAGACACACAGGTTAGCCAACGTGAATAAAAAAACTTTCTCTATAAATAAAGTTACTAAGCAAATATAACATCACAGCTGATTGTTGAATAGAAAAGGTTATTGAATTTCATGAAAATTGCTGTTGATTAATACGATATTTCACTTCAATTTTCGGGGAAAATAATAATTCGTTCATTGCCAAGTTAATTTTTTTCCGATATATAATTAATGACTCTAAGGTAAAACATAGTTTACGGATCATTTATTGGTGTAACAGATGTTTGTCGTGAGAAATGTCACAAATTGATATTAAAGACTTATTCGACGAAAGTAGGTAAGTAAAACTGGAAAAAAGTCTCATTTTCTTTTAAATTATTGACTTTGACCCCTTTTTCAAGTGTTAAACTTTATTCTCGAATCTCTTGAATTAATAGCATATCATTCATATTTGCATGTTTACGTCATTTAATGTCAAAGTGAGTTGTCTGTATATGTACTATTTAATACATAAAAAATCTATGTATATGTGTAGGAAAAATGTTTTTGTAAAATGTAATCATTTTTGTCATTTTTCTTTTTTATAGAGGCGATTTATTAATATGAAAACTTCAAATCTAACCTCTAAACACTTTGGTTATTTTTCTTATTATACAATTTTTTCTAGATTATTTTGCTTTATTTTAATTGCAAATTTTGAAAATAATTAAATTAGGTATCAAAAAAATGTTAACGCAAAATCTTTAAATGTTTTAAAAATGAAAATTAGCTTCTAATTTTTTAAAATTCAATATTTTCAGTAACTTTTATATTTTCCTGTAAAAAGAATTTTGTCAGGGAAAATAGTTTTAATGTCAATAAATTGTCAGGGAAATTGATAAAATGAAACTTCAGATTTTGCATATTATGACTTTTTCGACTTATTTTAAATAATTGCGACTTTTTTTACTTTTCTTTCAAATATTGCAACACAATACCACATTTTTAGTATAATTTGCAAATTATTTAAATTTTTCTAGTGTGAAAAATAACTTTCTAATTAAATTTTCGAAATATGCAATTAAAATGATTCAAAGAATCATAATTCCGAAAATTCAAACACATAGGTACAAAAAATAATACAAACATTACAATTTTTTTAGAATTATTTTTAACATTTTAGAGAAAACAATCATTGTGGAAAATTCTTATTAAAATTCTTTATAAAAATTACTTAGTTTTTTTTAAATTATATAAATTATAAAAAAATTATACAATTATACAAAAATTATTTTAAGAAATTCAATTATTTTCGAAAAATTACATTAGAATATTTTTAAAAAACTAATTCTTAGAATTGTTTTATTATACTTTATTAAGATTTACTTATCTTCGAACAAAGAAAATTAAATTTTTTTTTAATTTACTTCTTTAGATTCTTTATTAAAATTTCGGAAAAATCATATTTATATTTATAAATAAAATTCTTCAAAAATTTGATTACTTTGTATTTTTCAAAAATTCAATTATTTTAAAAAGATTTTACCAAAATTCAATTGTTTAGAAATTTTTTAATTATATTATTACATTTGAGGAGGAATAATTTTTTAATTAAATTTGCTTACGTTTCAGATTTCCCAGTGGCTGGAAACTAGTGTCTCTACTTCTGTATGCTCCATTGGGATTGGTACTGGTCGTAATTCGTCTATTAATTAGTCTTCAAATTTGGATATTGGCGTCGATTCTTCCAGATTGTCGACCATTGCGAGTATATCTACACAATGGTCTTAGTCTATCTTTTGGAATTATCGTTAAAATTGCTCCCGACAGTGAGGAACGCGATCCGGATACAAGGATCCTGATAGCAAATCAAATATCGACAATGGATCATTTTGTGATTCGTCGCGTTGCCCAAACAGTGACGCCAAGTGTTTGGGAACTTCCAAGTTCGTTGAGCGAGGCGTTAGGTGTGCACAAAATGGACATGAGTAGTAAAAATGTTTTAATGGAAAATATAAAACAAATTCTTGCTACAACAAAATGTAATATTGCCCTGCAACCTGAATTTGGTGCGACTAATAATCGTGTGGCTTTATTGAAATTTAATTCATGGCCATTTGGAATTGAATCGTCGGTTCAACCTTGTGTCATTAAAGCAAAAAGGCCTGAGTTTGTTGACGTGAGACTCACATCAGTTGCATCCACGATATGGATCGATGTTCTTTGGTTTCTCTTTGTACCTTACACTATTTTCACATTAAAATATCTTAAAGTTAAGAGAAATACCGATCAAGAGATTCTTGTGCGAGAAGTCGAGAAGGAGATCGCAAATGATCTTCATCTACAAACAAGTACGCACACTATTTCCGATAAGAATGAATATGAAAAACGTTATCTTCGTGAAAAAATGCAAAATCGAGGAGCTCAAAGTAGAGGAGCTCAGAGCAGAGGTTCAACTTCACGTCAAGTTGGAAGTGTTGATATGCTGCGAATGGCTCAACGTGTTAACGAAGTACTTCCCATGGTACCACGTAATGTGGTTCTCCGCGATTTGTGTACGTATTTTCTTTATTTATCAGTAAAAATAAGAAATAATAATCTTTAGATATTTATTTAAAAATAGTTATTGATGTTTTCGAATAATTTTACAATATTATAGAAATTTGTAAATAAATGTAATAGAACATTTTTTTTTAGTATCTAATAATTGTTAGAGGGAATTAGAACATTCTTTAAGGTCAGAGAAAACATTAAAATGTTGTCTGAAAATCAGGGGAAAGTTAGAGAAAAACAAAAGTAAATTTTTGCAACAACCCTGAATTAATTTACCCATTTGTTTTTTATCTGGTGGAAAATTTATCTCGTGCCGAGTAAATATTTTACTTTAGATATAAATTTTTCAATTTTGTCAACAAAGTCAAGATAATGTTTTTTTTTAATTACATTGCAATCTATTATTAAAAGGCATTAAAATTTTTTTTTATTTTTCAGTGAAAACAAGAAATGCGGAAATTACAATTGCCAATCTCCTTGACGGCATAGTGACTTATACACCGGAACAGTCGCCGCCGCCAAATGTCCAGGAGAGTTCGGTGTCAAAGCACCCGATACAAATGACAAAAGGTATTAAAGTGCCAGGTGCACTCTCCTTTCAGGAAAGAAAGGCAAAAATGATCGCGGAAGCACGCGAGAAATATATTGAGAAGCACGGACTCAAAAACTGTTGATGTTCTCCTCCCCCAGGGGGAATGCAAATTTTAATACCATCACCACTTAATTATTAAGGTAAATTTTGAGAGAACAAAAAAAAGTTGTATCATACATGTTTTTGTTGTATATGTATTTACTTATATCGTATCACATGAATACAATTTTACTTCTAATAATATTATTTTACTGGAAATCGAAGAAAAAAAACCTTATCCTTCGCGCGATATTTAATGACAAAAATATTATTATCATATTATTGTTAACGCGATTTCACGTTTTTTGGAAGACTGTTTTTATGGAAGACTAGCAATAGTTATCCTACGATTTTTTAGAAACTAAGAAAAACCAATGCTGCCTAGAAAAGAGAGAAAATTGTATAGTCTTCCAATTTGAAAATTTTCAATTTCTTTTTTAAATCAATTTCGTTACAATTCAATGATGTACACAATTCATTTTTGTTTTTGTATATAATTAAACAATTTAGGTAGCATTGGTTGAATGTTATTGAGAAGAAACAAAAAAAATCACCTATGAAAAAAAGATTTTAATATTATCCTGCACTTAATTTTAATTCACATTGTATCTTTTTTAAAGATGGGTATTTTAACATCTACACTACTCGTCTCAATAAAAATTGTACATTCAACAGAAAATGTCTTTTTTTTCCCTGAAATTTACTTCAGGGTTGCCACAAGTCAGTGAATTCAGCGAAAAGTTAATTCCTATAGAAAAATAATAATGATTAAATATTTATTTAAAAAAGAAGTTATTGATGTTCTTTAGAGTCAGGGAAAAAAAATTTTGTCTGGAAATCAGGAAAAGAAAATTAAAGTTTTGTGGCAACCCTTTACTTGTAAATAGAATTGAATATTTTCAAAATTGAAATTTCGACAGAATTTCAAATTAAAAAATATCTTCTTTAAAAGACAAGGGTTCGAAACGAAAATTAGTGTTCGACATTGCCTATGCAAACGTACTTGATATCTAAATATTCCTCGATACCATGACTGGAACCCTCTCGTCCAATTCCGGACTCCTTGACACCGCCGAAAGCAGCTTCCGCGCAGGAAATTATACCCTCATTGACACCCACCATTCCAACTTCCATATTCCTCGCTACACGAAATACCTGAGAAATATCACGCGAGAAAAAGTAACCGGCAAGACCGACATTAACATCATTTGCCTCCCTAACTGCATCCTCTTCGTTTTTAAATTTATGAATAACAGCCACGGGTCCGAAAATTTCTCGCTTATAAATCTCCATATCCTTCGTGACTTCTGTTAATAAAGTCGGTGAATAGAAAAGTGGTCCAAGATTCTTTACCACTTCACCGCCACAATGAATTTTTGCTCCCTTCTTCACAGCATCATCGACGAGATTTTTAACAATTCCCAATTGACTCTCGTTAATTAGCGGTCCATGCGTCACTCCATTCTTCAATCCATCGCCCAATTTAATTTCCGTTTTGATTCTCTCCAAAAATTTTTCCCTAAACTTCTCGAATATTTCCTCCTGTACGAAAAATCGATTTGCCGAAACGCACGTTTGGCCTGTATTCCGAAATTTACTCGCCATCGCTGCATTAACAGCAACGTCAACGTCGGCTGAATTGAAAACAATGTAAGGAGCATTTCCCCCCAGTTCGAGACTCAGGCGTTTCATTGTCGAGGCACATTGTTTGTAGAGTAATTTACCGACTTGTGTTGATCCGGTGAATGAGAGGACTCGAACTTTGGAATTACTGCAGAGTTCCTTGCCGACTTCGATGGAATTTTTTACGTCTGACGTTATACAATTGACGGTGCCAGCTGGAAAACCGGCTTTCTCGGCTAGATCGACGATCGCCAGGGCGGTGAGCGGAGTGTCTGCCGATGGTTTTATGACACAAGTGCAACCAGCAGCGAGGGCTGCTCCAGCTTTTCGGGTTATCATCGCGTGAGGGAAATTCCACGGTGTTATGAATCCAGCGACACCAATTGGTTGTTTTAATAAAAGTAGTTCTCGATTGGGAAACGGTGCTTGAATTACTTCTCCATTCACGCGTCTTGCCTCCTCCGAAAACCATTCGACAAATGAATTGCCATAGCGAATTTCCCCTCTTGATTCGTTTAACGATTTTCCATTTTCCATTGTTAATAAACTTGCCAAGTCCTCCGAATGTTTCACCTAATAATTAGAAATAAAATGAAAAATATTTCTTTCTTTCTATTTTCTATTTCAATTTTCTTATTCTTATTATTTCTATTTTTGTATTATCATAACTTCTCGGACCTTAAAAATTTGATCATTAGAAATAAAACACAAGGAGCGGAAGGAAGACAAAAAAAAATATCTCACCAATAAATTGTACCAGGAACGAAGAAGATCACTCCGTTCTTTTGCGGTCGTCTTTCGGTATAATTTGAAAGCCTCCTGGGCTGCATTTACTGCTTCCTGAGTATCGACAGCGTGCATATCCGGAACATTAGCGATTTTCTTACCATCCACAGGATTATAAACAGGAAAAGTTTCGTTGCTCTTTGCTCCGACCCATTTTCCATTTATAAAAGCCAATTCTTTTATTGTGCTCATCGAACGATTTATAGCGCTGCATGACGAAACGAGAGATTTCCTCACAAACATTTTCTCCCCAATAAGTTATCTCTATAAATTAAACAATAAAAGTAAATTATTTTTAACACAATTAACATTGAATATAGCGAAGAAATCAATATAAAAATGATTTAGGCAAACTAGACAATACTTTAAACACTAACATACAATTAATTAAATTCTATTACAGGATATTTTTTAGCTTTATTCACTATAATTAATTGAATTAATTTTATAATTACTTAAAATCATAAGAAAGATCAATACCCTAGAACACTTACATTTTCAAAAAGTATACTTGCTCTCGTTGATAAATCTTGTTTGCAAGAGATACAGAGATTTATCCCACTATTAATATCAATTGTTATCAATCCTCGACATCGAGATTGATTATTATTTCACTCACACATGAATAGAATATGTAATTTTAAATTGCAACAATAATAAAGATTCTGTTAAGTGTTTCAAGTTTAGCACCTATATGTTAAAAAGTTGTACAATAATAATATCAAATCACTGATTTCCATCTCGAGGGTATTTGTACTTTTAAATACATTTTTTTCGTAATATTTCCGTAAATACTTTTTTAATTTTTATATGAAAGCCGCAATAATTGAAATCCTTTTTTTAATAACAATTCCGATGGATTTTGAGGTTATGGAACCGAAAGCAGACGATATTTTCGGCCGGGATCTGTCAAATTAAAACATGCTTTCTGATTGGTGGAAAGTTTGGCCTGAAATTCGGACAACCAATGAAATTGCTAGAAATGGATATTTAAAGGATTTAAAGCACGTTTTTAAAAATGGCGAAAAGTTGTGTTGTGCGTTAAAGTAAACAAGGGAATAAACAAAGAGAAAGAAAATTTAATAGTAATAGTAAGAAAAATAACCGCTATTCCGAATTTGTTATAATGAAATATTACATTTGGGTTTGATTATTAAACTTTGTAAATTGAAATAGTTGGAATAGTTCAAATAATAGATAATAATAATAGTCGAGACAACAATGGAACATAACCTCGAAGGTACAGACCTTCAGGAAAACGATCTTCCGGAGGAATATGCAAAAAGAGCGGAGCGAAATCGTCAGAAAGCTTTGCTTCTTAAAAAATCTAAAGTTGTCACTCATCCATATGCAAAAGTGTAAGGGAAATATCAAAAGAAATAATTAGTCAATTAAAGCTTCTCTGTCATTAACTTCTCTATTCTAATTTTGTTACTCAACTATATTTCTACTGCTATTTTCACCATTATTACGATTATTACCATTTCTTCATTTTTAGCTTCTTTGATTCAAATTGTCATGAATTATTCAAAAAAAATTTATATACTATTATGTTAAACATTGCAATTTACAAATTTTCAGCGAAAATCCTGAAGCTACAGTGGGAAAAGTTGTTAAACTTCAAGGTCAACGTGTGGTTGACAGCGGAGCTGGTTTTCTAATTGAAGAAAGCGACGAATTAGAAAAAGAACTAGTAAAAAATTATCTGTCTTTTTGTTCGAATTTTTCTCCTTTTCGTTATTAATTTTTCTCTTTTTCCTTTATAGATAAAACTTGCGGACACTCCTGCTCCGATTGTGAGTGATTTACCTGTTTGCGAGGAATGCAAAAAAGAATTTAAAGATTCCTTCATGTTTCAGAAATTTGATTATCCAGTTTGTAATGCATGCAGGTAAATATTCTGATTTTTTCCATTTATTTTTCGAAATATTAAAATATTGAAAATTTGTTTTTTGTTTCTTAGGGACAATGATGGAAAGCATTCGTTGATAACAAGAACTGAAGCGAAGGCAGAATATTTATTGAAAGATTGTGATTTAGATAAAAGAGAGCCAGCTTTGAAATTTATCGTTAGGCAAAATCCTCATAATCCACGTTGGGGTGAAATGAAATTATATTTACAATTGCAAATTGAAAAACGTGCACTTGAAGTGTGGGGCACGGAGGAGAATTTAATGACCGAACGTGAAGTTCGCGATGAAAAACGAGAAGGAATGAAGATCAAGAAATTTAATAAAAAGGTAATTATACTCACTCGATATTTAAATTAATTTTCCAAGATCTCTGAAGAAATATTCTCTTTACAAATTCGACCAGAAGGGAAAATTAATTTCATTGTCACTGAAATTTATCATTATTATTTAATTATATATTTATTAAAATCAACTTTATTTATTTATTCTTATTAAAATCAACTAATTCAATTATTATATAAGATACGATATCAAAATATTGAAAATAATTCGAAAAAATTTCAGATTAAAAAATTGCGAATGGAAGTAAGAAGTTCGTTGTATGATAAAACTCAAAAAGGTTCTCACGTTCACAAATTCGGTCCAGAAACCTATGATGAAGAGGAAGATACTTATACAAAAACTTGCACCACCTGTGGACATGAGAATACTTACGAAAAAATGTAAATTAATCTTTTCAATAATTTCTCTAACAAATAATTATTCTTTTTTTTAACAGTATTATTTGTAATCAAAATAGTCTTAAAAATAGAAATGCTCACTCATGTTTTGTACATTTTAATGCATCAATAAATTATTTTTTTTCTACAAAAAGTCTAATCTTAAAAAAAACATAGTTTTATTCTATAGAATAAATACTTTTAATTTTGAATTTTTATTCAGAAATTTCGAAATTAATTCCAAGAGTTAAAAATTAATAATAAATAAAAATAGTAATAATATTAAATAAAAAGGCAGACATGTTAAATTATTTCGTTTATTTATTACATAACGAATGTTTCAATATTTCCCAAGAATGCAATAAATTTTGTTTGTAGAATCATTAACATAGAAATCACTAAAATCTACGTCGCAAATAATAACTTATCTTATTAATTAATAACTGAGGAAAACTTAGAGAAGAAATTAACTTTCTTTTTTCTAAAAACAAAAAATTTACAAAAAAATGTTCCTTTGTCAGGTACTCATCCAAAATTCCTTACTTTACAAAAATTCTTTTCACTTTCATATTTTAATTAATAGCGCTTTTATATTCTTAATTCCAAGGAACAATAAAAACTAAATATTTCTTACTTAAAAACTAAATATTCAAGTATCAATGAAATCTTTCATTTTATTGCGCTTTTATTTATTTCTATCTGCAATTCAACTGCATTTTTTTAATTATATCTATTTTCTATTTAACTTCTATATAATAACTATAACAAAAAATTTACAATTAAATTCCTATTTCTAATCTGTTATGTACAATAAGTAAACAGATTTTTTTTTAAATATCACTAACTAAAAGAAAAGACCCATTAAAATATGTTTTAAAATAAAAAAACATGAAAATCAATAAACAAATTTTGAAAAAAATTCATCAAAATCTAAATAATGCATTGAAGAAAAATAAATTATTTAGAGTATGAAATATTTTTCATTTGATAAAAATGACATATCAGACTTTTTTTTCTTTATTCTCATCGACAACATTAAATTGACTATTTATATTCGGTGTTCAATATTATATATACTTTTCCATTTTTTGTTATTTTTAAAGAACAATTCTTTCTATATTCTGAATAAAATTGAATTAATTCTGAATATTTCAATAATAAATAAATCCTGAATCATGCAGATAATAAATTCCGCGAGTTTTTAATTTATAATTACTTTTTCACGTGATGACTGATAAAAAAAATTTTTATCAAAGTAAAATTTTAATTACTATTTTAAATTAATCTATACCTCTCTTTTTCTAGATTACAATTCAATGTAAATTTTCATTTTTCCAATCCTAATGTTACTTTGATTACAAAATTTTTAATTTAATTTGTAAATATAAATTTCAAATTAATGCAATTTTTTTAAAATTACATTAAAGAGAAAATTAAAAATAGTTTTATTGTCATTAATAACCCTTTCCGTCTTTGGCACGATACTTTAGGCAGTATTTTTGTGATTAAATATCAATTGAGAAAGAGAAAAAAAATATTGTTTCTGTAAAAAGGAAAAAAATTGTATCCGCAGAAAGGGTTATTTTTTGATTGAAAATTTTTCAAGACAAAAGAATTATTTTTGCAATAATAATTTTAGGCTAATTTGTAATATATTTAAAATTTTAATCTTAATTATTATTTCTAACTATATTCATAAACAATAAAATCCATTTGTACAATATTTATAAGTGTGTTAAGAAAAAAGAAAAAGAGTTTTTTCTTATCTCTTCCGTTAAAAATCATGTAAATTACAAAATCTGAATTTAATCAGACAATTCAATTGTATTTTGAATAATTAAGCCCTCTTCTAAAAAATAAAAAGAGGGGTTTTTTTTCTCAAAATTCTTGAGAAAAAAAAATGACGGATGCATTAATGTGATTTATAATTAATACTACGATCGATTTGAGTTTTTACATATTGCCTGAAGTGGTGGAAGGGCACTCGCAACTGACAAATTTCCTGAAGCATCGCTACGAGATACTGGCACTGGATTTCCTATTGTCGTCGACGACCTGCAGGGAAATTGATGTTTTTAGTTAGAGGCATAATATTATTTTATTTATAGTCTATTCTTCTTAATAATTAAAATTAAAAAAACTCGACTCCATGAATTTAAAAATCTTTTTTTTCGAGAATTCAATTATTTACAAACAAAAATAAATAATTTATTTAGTAATCGAATATTTCTTAAAATTCAATTTTTATGAAGAATTTTATAAAAATTTCTAAACATAATTGAATTCTTTCGGTGAATTTAAAAAAAAATTTAAGAATAAATGCAATTTTCTATCATATTTAAAATTGTTTAAAAAATAATTGAAATTCTGCGATAAGTTTTGTTATTTATGAAAATAATTGAATTCTTGCAACAAATTTTATTAAAAATTTTTTTAAAGAATTGAATTCCTGTAAAGAATTTTATTTGTAAAAATAATTGAATTCCGGAGAAAAATATTATTATTCATGAAAATAATTAATTTCTTGTGAAGAATTTTATTCAAATTTTTTTAAATAATTGAATTGCTTAGAATTTTTAAAAACTTTTTAAAAATAATTAAATTCCATCGAGAAATTTCATTAAAGCATTCAAAATAATTGAAATCTGACAAAGAAATAAAAAAAATTCTTTTTTAAATAATTGAATTCTTGTAACAATGTTTATTTTTGAAAAGAATTGAATTCTTGAGAAGAATTTTATTAAAATTTCTTAAATAATTGAATTGCTTTTGAAGAATTTTATCTTTTAAGAAAATAATTGAATTCGTTCGAAGATTCTTACAAACATTTTTGACAATAATTGTATTGCTAGAAAGAATGTTATATTTTACGAAAATAATTTTATTCTACGACCAATTTTATTATAATTTTTCAAATAAAGCATTTTATCAAAATTTTTTTAAATAATTGAATTCTCAAGAAAAATTTTATTATTTATAAAAATAATTGATTTCTGGCGAAGAATTTTATTCAAATTTTTTTTAAATAATTGAATTCCTATAAAAAATGTATTATTTGTGAAAATAATTGAATTCTCAAAAAGAATTATATTGAAAATAATTGAATTGTAAAGGAAAATTTTATTAAAATTGCAAGTTTATTAACTAAATCTTGTAAAGAATTTGGTCAAAATATTTTTAAGTAATAGAATTTTTAAAAGAATTTTATTTAAATTTTTCGAAATAATTGAATTTCTTAGAACTATTTTAAATTTTTTTCAATTCTCTGAATATATTTGAATTCTTTGGAGAAACTTCATTAAAAAATAAAAAATAATTGAATTGGTGCGAAGAAATATATAAAAAATTGTTATGTATTTCAATTCCTGTGAAATTTTTATTAAAATTTTGTTTAAATAATAGAATTCTTTTGTAAAATTTTATTAAAATAGTAGATATTAAAAATAATTTAAATGAGGAAAATTTTTGAAATTTTGCCAAGAATTCTATTATACAAAAAACACCAAAATTCCGAATGTTCTTATAAATTCTAAAAATTTAATTTTTTCCAGCACTTTTAGTAAAAATCCCTGACTTTTCCCTGACCAATTCTAATTTCCCTGACTTTTCCCTGAATTCCCTGATTGTGGCAACCCTGTTTAAATAAAATTCTTTAAAAGAATTTAATTATTTCTTATAGAATGTAAAGAAATTTCAATTATTTCAAAAATTTTCAATTATTTCTTTATAAAAATTCAAATATCTTAAACCAATAGAATTGAAAAATTTCAATAATCCTATTTTTCAAAATTTTCAGAAAAATTTTGCGAAAATTCAATTTTATTAAAAAATTTTAAATATTTATCTTTTTTAAATTAACTAATAAAAATTTTAATTATTAATCTTAGCACTAAGAAATCATTAAATTAAAATACTTTGAAAATTCGATTTGTTAAAAAGTTTTTAATGAAATTCTTTAACAAATTTAATTATTTTCAGTTGAATTTCCCAAAATTTCTATTAATTGGATAATTTTTTAAAAATTTATTTACATTATATTTGAATATAGAAGTGTCTTTGAAGTGTCTGATTTTTTACTATCAAATTAATTATTTTTAACTAATTCAAATTTAGGGAACAGTATAAATATTATTTATAAAAATTGAAATAAAAAGCGATTTTTTAAAAACAAATTAAAATAATAACTTTTTTAATTTGATGACAAAATTCCCGGTTTGGCATAAAATTCCTGGCTTATTCCAGATGAGAACAAAATGAACTTGATTATTGCCCACGAAATTAAAAAATTGGAAATTAGAATAAGAAATTCTTATTTTTTAATTTCCAAGGCAATAATCAAGTTCCTTTTCTTCTCATTTTATTTTTATCTTTTAATATTTTTTTTAATAAAGATAAACTCACCTATTGTGTCTGAGGTGACTCTTAACTAAATGTCCCGCGGTGAGTGCGGCCATAAGCGATAATTCACCAGCCAAAACAGTCGCGCAAACGATTCTTGCCAATTTACTCGAATTCTGTCCAGGATCATCGGAATTTGCGCCCTTCACTCCCAACATTGCCAGACAAGCGCCCTGCGCCGGAAGTCCCGTTCCACCGCCAATAGTTCCAACTTCAATGCTCGGCATTGTACAAGAAATATAAAGATCGTTTCCATCTGGTCCCCATGGCTCCATCAATGTCATACAATTACTGCTCGAAACATTTTGCGCCGGATCCTGTCCAGTTGCAATAAATATTGCCGTCACAATATTTGCCGCATGTGCATTAAAACCACCAATACTTCCAGCCACTGCCGAACCAATCATATTCTTACTAATATTCGAGTCGACAAGACTCGGAACATTTGTCTTCAACACAGTCGTGACAATATTCGCCGGTACAATTGCTTCGCAAACAACACTCTTACCACGTCCCTCAATCCAATTAACAGCCGCTGGTTTTTTATCAGTACAAAAATTGCCACTCAACGACAATACTTCCATATCGGGAAATTGTTCCTGAACAGTGTGCAATGATTTTTCCGTTCCCTTTGACAGCATATTCATTCCCATTGCGTCGCCAGTTTTCGCTACAAATCGAATAAAAAGATGTCTCCCGGCAATTCGAATGTGTATTCTCGTTAGTCTCGCGAAACGACTTGTTGTATCGAAACTCGCTTTCATTGCATTGAAATTCTCACTTATTTGCATCCAATTCATTGCTTCACTGGCGCGAACAACATTTGGAAATCGAACAACTGGTCCTCGTGTCATTCCATCGGCGACAATGCGACTTGTTACGCCGCAATGAATAAGTGCACGACTACCGCGATTTGTCGATGCGACGAGACAACCTTCGGTTGTTGCCATTGGCACGTGAATAAATTCGCCGTCAACCTTCAGGGGACCGGCAACACCCACTGGAACTGGTACATAGCCGATGACATTCTCACAGCATGAGCCAAGAACTTTACTGTAATCGTAACTTTTATAGGGTAATTCTTCGAGTGTCTCGGAAAAATTACCAATATCCTCGAGCATATTGCGACGAATTCCAACTCCTCGTTCCATATTGCCAACGGCCTTTTCCAATTGATACGATTGAATGTATTTGTGCTTCACCAAGTCAATTACTTCGCTATCCGTCAGGGCATCAGCTCCCAACTGTAAAATTACAATTAGAAAAATTGAATTAATCAAAAATTTTCTATCATTTTGTTCAAATTAAACTGAATTCAATTTATTTTCGTTAAATTCAATTTATTAAAATTCAATTTCATTAAATAAATAAATTTTTTTATCAGGGTTGCCACAAAAATTTAATTTTGTTCTTCCCGGACTCTTCTATGATTTCCAGACAAAGTATTGAATTTTTCCCTGATCCTAAAGAATATTCTGATTCACTCTAAAAATTAGATACTCAAAAAAATCTGTCCTTAGAAATTAATATTTTTAAAAATATCGAATTCAAACCTTTTTGAAATTCAACAACTTATAAGAATATTATCGACAAGAATATTATAGATATCGACAACTCCGTGTCAAAGAACGAGATATTCAATTTATGTATTATTATTATGCAAATTATACAATTATTTATTTCCAAATAAAAATTTTTGAATAATTTCATAATCAGAATTTAAAAAATTAATTTATTTAGTACGTAATTAATTATTATTATTGTTGTTTATATTTTCAAAAATTTTAATTTTTTGCAAGAATTGAGTTATTTTTATAAATAATAACATTCTTCAGAAAAATTCAATTATTTTTATAAATAGTAACTATTTTTTCAAAAATTCAATATGTTAAACAAAATTTTAATAAAATTTCACGAAAGAATTCAATTACTTTCTAAAATTTTCATAAATCCTTCAAAACAATTCAATTATTTCTTTAAATAGTAAAATCTTTGAAAAGATTCATTTTATTAAATAAAATTTCACGAAAGAATTCAATTTTTTTCTTAATTCGCTTTAAAAATTTCCAAAAGAATTCAATTATTTTCTAAAATAAATAAATAAATAAATCCTAATAAATAAATCCTTTGAAACAATTCAATTCTTTTTATAAATAGTAAAATTCTTTGCAAAAATTCAATTATTTTGAATACAATTTTAATAAAATTTCACGAAAGAATTCAATTATTTTCTAAAATTTTCATAAATCCTTCAAAACAATTCAATTATTTCTTTAAACAGTAGAATCTTCGAAAAGATTCATTATATTAATATTATTTTTTAAAATTATAATAAATCCTTTGAAACAATTCAATTCTTTTTATAAATAGTAAAATTCTTTGCAAAAATCCAATTATATTGAATACAATTTTAATAAAATTTCATGAAAAAATTCAATTTTTTTTTTAATTTTTGAATAATATTTTTGGAAAAAAATCAAATATTTTCTAAAATTTTAATAAATTCTTAGAAACAATTCAATTATTGTTATAAGGAGTAAAATTCATCGCAAGAATTAAATTATTTTTTATAAATAATAAAATAAAATTTTTAATTAAAATTAAAGAAATTATTCAATAGAATTTAATTATTTACAAAAACTCTAATAAAATTGTTTAAAAGAGTTTAATTTTCTATCAATAATTTTAATAAAATTTTAATAGTAAAATTATTAATTATAATATATTAACAAAATCGATTATATTCAATAAATTAAAGACATTTTTTAAAAGAATTTCATTATTTTATATATTTTAATAAAATTCCTTGAATGAATTAAATTATTGTACAAAAATTGTATTAAAATTCTGAGAAGAATTTGATTATTTTCTACAAATTTTAATAAAATTCAATGATTAAATGTTTAATTTCAATTATTGAGAAACACGATTATTTTAAAAACATGAAAGATATTATTCATGAAATTCAATTACTTTCAAAATTTTCAATTAAAAGTTTTAAAGAGACTCCAAAATTTAAAAAAAAAAATTCAAAGAAATTCTTCAAAAGAATTTAATTATTTACAAAAACTCTAATAAAATTATTTTAAAAAGTTTAACTTTCTATCCATAATTTTATTAAAATTTTAATAGTGAAATTATTAATTACCATTATTGAAAAAATCGATTATATTCAATAAATTAAAGACATTTTTTGAAAGAATTAAATTATTTTCTATATTTTAATAAAATTCCTTAAATGAGTTAAATTAATTTAAAAAATTGAAATAAAATTCTCAGAAAAATGTAATTATTTTTTTTTAAATGTTAATAAAATTCAATTATTCAGAAACACGATTATTTCAAAAATTGACAAAAATTTTTCATAAAATTCAATTACTTTAAAAATTTCCAATTAAAATTATTAAAGAAACTCCATTATTAAAAAAAAATTCAAAGAAATTCATCAAAAGTTTGAATTAGTATTTTAAAAAATTTTACTAAAATTCTTTGATGAAATTCAATTATTCTTAAATTTTTTGATAAAATTATTCAAATTAATTTTTAAGAATAATTAAATTCTTCAAGGAAGTAGATTAAAATTGGAAATTATTTATAAATATACTTGCATTTTTCTAGGAGTTTATTTAAAATTTTCAAAAAAAGGAAAAAGTATCCAAATAATAGCAAATCGTTAAAAAAAAAGTATTAGGTAGTAGGCTTTATTAGAAGAGTACAAAGCTTGAAATTCTAATAATAATAAAAATAATTAATTTCACAGGTCAACAAAAAAAGACTTACTTTTTTTTTATGAGATAGCGGAATGGTTTCCTATGTATTTTTGGACGCTGAACACGATCCCGACTTCCAAATTTGCCCATCACGTCAGGATTTTGAGAAAAGTGGGGGTAAAGACCCCAAAAACGCTTTTTTGAGGATTTTCAACATTTCTTTTCTCTTTAACCTGACGTGCTAGAGACTTCCACAAGGTCTTAAATTAAAGCTTGTAATGTGCACTACAAGACCAATATCCATAAAATAAAAAAAAATTAAAATTTTTTTTAAAAAAATGGGGTTGAAGACACCAAAAATTTGTGTTTTTGGATTGCTTTAATAGACTTCTTGCAATCGCTTGGATTCGCTTGAAAATGGGTACTTGGGGTTTTTGGGGTCGCTGATTACGAATCCAATATTTGTTTGCAAAAATTTAAAACGGCGAAACCAAGATGGCAGATGTAAGAATTAAGAATTGCTTGGATTCGCTTGAAAATTGTTATTTCAGGGTTTTTGGGGTCGCTGATTACGAGTCCGCCATTTTTAATTTTTGCAAACTAATATCGGATTCGTAATCAGCGACCCCAAAACCCCAAGTAACTATTTTCATGCGAATCCAAGCAATTGCAAAAAGTCTATTAAAGCAATTCAAAAACACAAATTTTTGGTGTCTTCAATCCCATTTTTTGAAAAAAATTTTAATTTTTTTTTATTTTATGGATATTGGTCTTTTAGTGCACATTACAAGCTTTAATTCAAGACCTTGTGGAAGTCTCTAGCACGTCAGGTTAAAGAGAAAATAAATGTTGAAATTCCTCAAAAAAGTGTTTTTGGGGTCTTTACCCCCACTTTTCTCAAAATCCTGACGTGATGGGCAATTTTGGAAGTCGGGACCGTGTTCAGCGTCCAAAAATACATAGGAAACCATTCCGCTATCTCATAAAAAAAAGTAAGTCTTTTTTTGTTGACCTGTGTTTTTAGTGAAAATTGAAAAAGATTGAAAAAAATTAAAGTTAAATTAACTTTGATCGTTAATTTAATTATTAATAAGTAACAAATTGAAATTGACAGAGAAAGTTAATTAAATTTACTCTGATCGTTAATTTAAATATTAATAAGTAGCAAATTTAATTTTTAATTTAATAAAAACAAATAAAAATTCAAATTAATCAATATAATAAAATAATTTTTAAAAGTGACTAAAGAAGTTTCTTGAAAAAGTCGTTAAATTTAATAGAGAATTGAAAAAATAAAATTCTATAAGCATCTTATTGAACAAAGTTAGTAAGTTATTAATTATTAGTTAAAACAAAATAGTAAAAAAAAATAAATAACAAAAAAAATATTAAAGTTAAATATACTTTGATCGTATATTAATCCCCCCTCCATAATTTAATTAAAATTAAAACTTTTCCTTATTGATAAAATTGTCAATTGAATATCTTTAAATAGACAAGCTTTAATCTATCTTCTGACAAAATTTGTTAGTATAATTATTAAAAAAAAAAATTATTTAAGTTATCAATTCCGCATTATCAACTTTTGTTCATTTTAATTCTGAATAGAGAAATAAGTTAAAATTATAGATTCATCACATTTTTGAAATCATCAAAAATTTGTGGAAATAAGAAGAAAAATAGAAATGAAATATAATTCCTTTATAAACATCTAATAATCATCTTCACGTGTCATAACACTGGATCAAATTAATTTTATTAGAATTTATAAGATCATTGAACTTGCGTACGTGACTTGGAGAATGGTTATTTGTACATAAAATTTATAAATTTACATAAAAAATTCATTTTTTTCATGATGAAATTTCAAAATTATCAGTGATTTTTGCTTTTTCTTATGTCTTCTTCTTCTACTTCCTCCATTAATTTTCAATGCCATTGCCACAATTCGCTAGATTTATGTTAAAGATATTCAAATTAGTGACTATACATCAAATATTTTTTTTCAGCAAAATCCAAAAAATAGAACTCCTCGTGTCTTTATGGGTATTGTCAAATGGGAATTCATAATTTCCATTTTTAGCTCTAACTCATTCTTAAAGGAATTCATTTCAATTTTTTCAAGTGTTTTTTTTACTTTTAAGTCGTATTTTTTTTATTTTCAATTGAAAATATTATTTTCGTTAGAAATAATTTTATCTTCCAAAATTTCGTATTATCAATAATTATCTTTAATTGGGAAGTGAATTTTAGAAAAAAACATTTCCACATGGAGAAAAATAATTAATATTTGTAATTTTATTGATTTTATTAATTTTATTATTAAAAATTAGTTCGTAATTTTAATAATATTTTGAAAAAAAGGGAAAGAAAAGAACTTACCTCAGATCTGTAGATGGTGAGACACTCGTCCAATGTTCGAGAAATTTTTGGAGCATCATTTTTCACATCTCGCGATGTGCTGACAATTTGAATATCATCAGTTTGCACTTCTTTGTCGCTGAGTTTAATAAATGATTCCTCATCAACAACTTCAATCCAATCGCCACCCATTCCAGAAAGCGGGAAAATAGTCGAGTGCATTGTGGGCATTGCGGATTCGAAACGACGCCTCGTTTGTGACTCCAAATTTGCGGCAGTTGCATGCATAGTTTTCACCGTTCCTTCCTCAGTGGTAACGGTTTTTTGCGCGGCTGCGCTCTCCTTCAATTTCAATTGTTTCGCGATATCACCCCTGTCTTCAAAGAAGACAAATTTTATTGCCAACGCCGCCAATAGAATGACAATCACAATATTATCAGGACTAAATGGCATCCAATTTAAAAAATACTTTCCCAAACTCAATTGTGAATCAGTCACGTTCTCGTTCTCCAAAATTAAATTTGAATTCACTGGTGATACTGATTTCTTAATAACAACCTGATCCTGTTCCTTGAATGGCCATCGACTGAAAAATAGAAGAAAACAAAAATTGTTTTAAAAAGAGAAAAACAAAAATTGGAAAAACACGTCACTATCCTAACAAGGAAGATTGAGACTGAGGCGACTCCATAAATCTTTTATTGTATTTTTAGTTTTTAACACGACATTTGAGTGAGAAATTCCCAAAGCATTGTTAACAAAAAAAAAAATGCTCTCTCATGTAATATTAAACTCGCCTCGCGACACTTATTTTTATCGGCGTGGTCCTCATCCCATTCATTCGCGCCAAACAACATTCATTTTTGAATAAGAAAAAAACGAACAATGATCCACCCGTCCGGCCTGTCAAAGATCGAAATAATTTCCGAGTCCGACGACGCCCGAAACTCACAAGAAGAGAAGAAGAAAAAAAGAAGACTCGCGCAAAATAATATACTTCAAAAAAAAAAACATGTACATCTGCACTCAACTTTTCACCACGTGATTCATTTGCATTTGGAAGAAAACTGCCGAAGATTCATACGATACGATCTAACTCTTCGGAACTTGCATAATTTACTGAATAATATGCACCGTGCACGTATCCTACTAATGTCTTGTCGTTCATATGACCCTGACTCCCAATGACCTTTCACGGGGACAAAAAGTCTTTTTTTTTTTTCGCCTCTTGAAAAATCTACAAAAAGGTCAGATCAGTATGATAGCTTTTCAGTTCCAGTGACGCTTTTCTTTTTCCCTCGGAAAAAAAAGAAAGTTTACAACTCTTTTTTTATTACGTCAGGAATTTTCTCAATTCTTTTCATAAAATAAAAAAAGCCGATTCTTATCTGAGACTGATTATCCTTTTTTTAAACTTTTAAAAAAGACTACCCCACTTAGAAAATTCTATGTCTAGGTCGTATTTAAACATCTCTCCAGTGTGATTGTCGTCATTTCATCATCACCTTTCAAAGGTCGTCAGTTTCATAAGAAATGTTGTAATAAAATTAGACCGGTTCCTGACCTTCTTTCACCTGTACAATATATACAAAAATTGATCTCATTCGCGAGTTTACGAAAAAAAAAATAATTATAACATTTATTACAACAAATAGAAAACTGTCGCAATTAGTATTTTTTTCTCTGATTACCAACTTATTTTATTACTACTTTAGTTTGAATAATTTAACTAATTTGATTATTGGGAAATTATTCTTTTGAAAACTATTTTTGTATATTTTTATATTTTTATATTTTCTATATTTTTCCCGAAATGGCAGTGGAGGGATTTTCTATTTAAAGATTTAAAAATACCTGTGTGCGTGAACAATGAAAAGACCAGCAATCATGATGAGTTTAACTCTCTCGACGACGGGATTTGGTTTTCGGTCTTCCTCATTCAAAGTTGGCATCATTAATATTTTGTCGGCGCTCATTACGTGATTTCCTCGCGACAACTGTGAATCAAATCAAAAATTTCACTATCCTTAGAAAAAAAATAAAAGCACAGAGAAAGTAAAATGCATTATTCAATCACATAAAAATGTATATCGAACGAAACTTTTTACTGGTTGCAAAATTAAAGCTTTCCACAAAAGAAATTCTTGTCTTCAAAAGGAAAAATTCTTTACATTTTCTTTTCTACAAGGAAATAATTTTTCAAAATAATTACGAATATAAGAATTAAAAAAATAGAGGAAGCGACAAACAAGAATAGAGAATAAAAAAATAGAGAATTTTGAAATAAAAAGAAGTATGTAAAATAAAAAGAACGGGTAAAAATTACAATCGAAAACAAAGACAAAAAAATAAATTAGAAAAAATTAAATAAAAATAAATAAATAAATTAAGTAAATAAAAATAGAGACAAAACGAAGAAAGAAATTAGTTCGACAATGAGCGAATAGGTGACGAGAATAAATATCGAATATAAACAGAAAAAGTTATAAAAATAAAAAACTGGTAAAAATTACAAGCAAAAAAGATAAATCTTTTGTAATTTTTACCAGTTTTTTATTTTTATAACTTTTTCTTTTATTTTTTAAAACGGTAAAAAAAAGAAATTAGAAAAAATCTAACGAAATAAATAAAAAGAAGAAATTACCTCGACAATGAGCGACAGGCAGGCAGGATAAAAAGTCATGAACACGAGGTAATTGACGACAACACCGAGACATGCAAAAGTGCAAAGAATCTCGAGTCTCTTAACACCCGAAAGTGAACCAATGCCAATTAATAAAATTTCCACGAGTGTGTCTAATGTAATTGTTGGACCCAATAATGTCATTCCACGTGCGATATTTGCACGAACTTCCTCCTGATTTCTCGAACTCGATGCGATTTGTGCCAATAAACGTGCCTTATTCAAATCAATGACCAAAAGAAAGAAGAAGAAGGCATCCCTGCAACAGGATATTTCAAGAATTAGATATATAAAATACTGTGCTTCAAAAGAAAAAAAATAATAATATATTCTATTCAAATGCCGGGGAGTCCCACGTGTGGATATATTTTATATTTCATTCCATTCACGAAAGTCCAATTAAATTTAAATATTCCAATTTAATCAGTATGAATAAATTTTTTGATAGACGTTAGGAGCAATTAATTTTCATAATCGTCATGTGAAATTCAACTAATATGGAATTTTAAAATACAAAATTTAGAAAATTTATTCGATTTTTAATTTCTTTTTTTTAAGTCAAAAGATAAGTTTATAACTTTAAAAAGAAGGTTTATAACTGTAAAATGTAGCTAATGTACTATAAATTACATTTTACAGCTGTAAAGAAAGTTAGAAAAAGAAGAATTCGTTTTTTTTCTCTCGACAAAGTTGATTATAAAAATTAAAATATCCTTTTTTTCAATTTTCTTTTTCATTTTGAAAATGGAAAAATAGGTAAAAAATAGAACAAAAAATAAGAAAAATTCTCCTTAACAGTCCTTTTTTTCAATTTACCTTTTCATTTTGAAAATGGAAAAATAGGTAAAAAAACAATGAAATAAGAAAAATAAAAGAACGAAAAAATAAGAAAAATTGGTTTTTTAAAGAAAAATTCTCCTTAAGAGTAAATAAAAGGCGCAAAATATTCGTTAGAATAAAAAAATTACCATCCTTAGTTTTTGTACTCACTTTAAATCGGAAATGGCACTTTGGCCAAAATTAACAACACTTGAAGTGAACACTATACTGGAAAATACAGTAAAAAGTCCAGCACCACCTGAAAATGATATTTTTATATTAAAATAAATTTCAGTTAAAAGAAGGGCATAAAATTGGTAATAAATTTAAATTTTCAAAATCGAAGAAAATGAACATTAAATTCAAAATAAACGAATTGTCTATTTGTCTAACAAATAAATAAATAAACAGATTAAATAAATTACAAATAAATAATTAAAATACAATCTTTCCTCTATGAGGAAGCAATAAATAAATTGTAAATAAATAAATTTAAATTAAAAGAAGAAGATAGAATTAAAAATAAATTTTAATTTTCAAAATCGAAAAAACGAACATTAAGTTTAAAATAAATAGTTATTAATTGTAAATTAAATTAAAAGTCTATTTATTGTCTAATAGGTTAACAAATAAAAAATTAAAATAAATAAATTATTACTAAATAACTGAAATTAATAAATTGTAAATAAATAAACAAAATAAATAAAGAAATTCAAATTAAATAAATTTAAATAATTAAATTAATAATAAACAATACAAAGAAGAAATAGTAAAAGATTTAAAAATAGAAACAAAATAAATAAAAATTATTATAAATAAAAATTTTACCATTTTTCTCCAAAAATAAACAAAAATATATTTTTTTAAACAAATTTTTTTATTTTTTGACTAAAAAAAATTATTTTCCAATAAAATATTTAAAATTCGATAATTTTTTCGAATGCATATGCAAATTCCGTGAAAATTCGGTAATTCTGATAGACAATGACCTCACATTGGCCTCGAAAGAAACGCTATCACTTTCTATGGAACTTTCACTGGCGCTCAATGCTTTCACACGTCTTTTAAGGCATCTGTCTTATCAATGATCACTTGTTATTGCTTGGAATTATGCATCTCTCTCAATAAAGATGTAAATTCAAAAAAAAAAGGCACATACATATGTCAAGAACTGTCAAAACAGAATGTTAGAAAAAAGAGAAATAATTTATCAACTTTTTTTTCCTTGTTGACATTTATTATTTCACTATTCAGAAACTTTATAGTTATTTTTTCCATACTCTATTTTTTATAATTCATCTTCATAATTATATTTTTTGACCCAATTTTTTCATATTTGTTTATTTTTGTATAGTACGTGATTTTTCACACACGTGTTTTTTTTGTTTACTTTTGAATAATTCCAAACTATTAGAATACATAATTAGAATATTGAGCAAAATAATTACAAAATCAAAAATTTATGACTCATTCGAATTGAAATAGGGATTAATTAATACACTTCTCACAATATTTGTTCAAAAATCACAGTCAATTAAAATAAACGTCTGTTGAGAGCAATTTTGAAAATAAAAATTAGTCATCTACACTGGAAAACCCAAATTTTGAAGAAAATAATAAGAAAAAAAGGTGGGTTAAATTAAAATTATTATTATTAATGAATAAAGTTGTCAATAGAAATGAAATGCCAATGAAAATAGAAACTACTTTTTCTAAACAAAAAATGAGTGAATTAAAAATTTCTTTGTCAACATACCAAGAATGTACTTAGATCCCGTATTTTGAAGATTTCGCAATTGATGATAACTGAAGAGTATCGCTAAACAACGAATTATAGTCATCAATATTACATCAGCTGCATTTTGCTCCTGGAAAGAAGAAAAAATTTTTGCAATATTTATTTTTAATCTAGAATGATGAAATTCTATTTTAGAATTCAGCAAAAAATTATACAATCGCGACATTTTGACAAAAAAAAAAAGATTTGCAGTATTTTTAAAATACATTTTTCTTCAATATTTCTTGTTTTAATAAATTCAGAATAATTATTTTTTTGTTACATAAGATTTTCGCTGTTCCTCGATAAATAATTTTTCAGTCTCAATAACTAATTTATTACTTTTCTATTTCCATTTGTGGTTTAAGAATAAAATGCAAGACAGTAAGAAACGGCTTCTTTTGTGTTTAAAAAATAACCGAAGAATTGTAATTAAGAGGAAAATTTTTCAAATATATAAAAAAGAAAAAAATTGCAATTATTTATTTATTTTTACCTCAAATGAGCAACGATCATGCCAACAATGCGTGGCTGACAGGCTTTCCTCTTTCGTTTGACTATTTCCGATTTCAATGTTGAGAATGCAGGCTGTCAGGGTGAATGTTGCAACAATCACCTCGAGAGGATGGCTCGCGCAAAAGCGACCGTGCACTTCGAATATTGGTCCCAGCATCTTCTTTTTTTTTCTTTAAAGATAATTTGATGCAAAAAAAAAACGAATTTCTGTAACAGAAAAGAAAAAATATTTTATTTTTCGAAAAAAGTAATTTTATAATTATTATTATTATAAATAAATACCAAAGTATTTTTGTACTTTAGTATTTATTTCTTTCATTACTCGATTTTAATTTATTTCCAGGAAAACTGAGCATAAAGGCGATTATTTAGATCAAAGAGGACTCTAATTTGTTTGGGGCGGGAAAAAATACAGATGACACACATAGATGAAAATGGAATAATTTAACATTCTATTATAGCGATTTATAAATCTATGTCACGAAATTACTCGAGACACCTTTAATCGTTCAAGGCGAGCAAGGATTTCATCGGTTGTGATCAGAGTGCGATGACTGCGTTTACACATTGCACATTAAGTGTTATTGCATGATAATTATTAAAAAAAAAAAAAAAAATAGAAAAAAATTACCATGTCATTGATGGTTTTTTTCTCTCTCTTATATTTACGACAAAACTTGTATAGAAATCGACGAAATGATTTAATGTACTTATTTTTTACAATAAAAATGACATATATTTCTGTTATAATTATTCTCACCCTAAACTACGCTCCGTCATTCGTGTAAAAACAAAAGAAAATCATTTTTATAATTTTTTATTTTCTCCAAATGAAATTCTTTCCTCTACAAATCTAGGTGTACAAATCAGGTTTTGATAAAAATTATTACAATGTTAATATAAAACATTCTCGTATAAATAAATTACAATATTTATACAATTAAAAGAATTTTTTTCTCCATTTACTTTACATTTTATCTCGGAATTAGGTATACAAATAAATTATAAATTTTTTCTACATTTCTTACACATTTCTTTTTCAATACAAAAACAAAAAAAAATTGGAATAAATTATAAAAATTTAAATATCAAATAATTTTCTACACTGCTGCCAAAGTTGTCATCTTATTTCCCTTTCTACTATTTTTTCAGGAAACGATAATGAAAAATTTAAATAATTTTGTAATTTAAAAATAATTTTTTTCTATTTGATTCTTTTTTCACAAAGAAAGCAAAAAAAAAAAAAAAAAAAGAAATGAATATTTATGAGAAAATTCTATTCTAAACTTATAGGATAAAATCGATTAAGTAAAATTAGTCTATAATTTTTATTATTAAGCAATTAATGAAAATTAAGCTATTAATATCATAATTATTATGAAGTTGATCAGTGAAAAAAGGAACGATTAATATACCAAGGTGAAGTGTATCAAACAAAGATCTATAGTAAAGAAGATTTTGTTTAAGTCGTTACCCTTTTTTCAATCACACGTGTAAGGTATTTTAAAGTCTCATAATTAAACATTTCTTTTTTATATTTAAAATTTACAATTCATATCAGAACTTTTTAAATCATTTTTAATGTTATACTTTTTAATATTCGTTTAATTTAAACCAAAAAATACAATTTTTTATTAATATTACATCAATCGAACGATTTGAATATTTATGTATTAAAATCTTTAAAATTAATGATAAGTTAATTCAATAAATTGTAATAAACAATACAATACAATAAAAATATTATTTAAATATTATTTACTGCAACTAAATTTCATTTTGCAAATCTAATTTACTAAATATCATTCTAACGTTCAATAAATTTTTTTTTTAATATTTATCTCACTAAAGATTCGAAAGTTCAAATGATAGACGATTTTTTTTATTTTGCGATAAAATATTTTTTTAAATTTAGAAAATTAATTATTTTCTATAAATTTTGAATTTGTTTTATATTTAATTTTATTCTTTGGTAAATTTTGAAAATATTTAAAAAGAAAAAAATATTCGTTCGTTCGTTAATTTTTATATTAATTTTACATAAATATAAATTTTCCTAAAGTATCGAAGGTTCAAATAAACGATGATTTCTTTTTATATTTCATTAAAAATTTGAATTTTGCTAGAAAATATATTTTTTTAATTTAGAAAATTAATTCTTTTCTATAAATTTTGAATTTGTTTTATATTTAATTTTATTCTTTGGTAAATTTTGAAAATATTTAAATAGAAAAAAATATTCTTTCATTTAAATGTTCGAAATTTTGGAAAAATTTATATTTTTTTAAAATTAATATAAAAATTAACCGAAAAATAATATAAATAATTTTAATAATAATAATAATAATAATAATAATAATAATAATAATAATAATAATAATAATAATAATAATAATAATGTTAGAGTAAAATTTAATAAAATAGATTAAATTACAAAAAATGTTAATCAATTAATAACATTCAAATTATGCATTTAATATTAGATATAAATTACAAATTAAAGAAGAGATTTTCATAAAATCAAAAATTGGAGAACAATTTTAAGTTTAGTGGATAATTGAATAAATTATTATTTTATCGATAGGTTCGAAAAAAAATTCTCTGATAATGAAAAATTGTTCGTTTTATAATTAGAAGTTTCACAGTAGAAGTAAGTGAGTTTAGTCAGCCAATGAATTGAGAAAAAGGAAATAGAATGGAACAGAGACAATAAAGAAGTGATAAGCCGAATGACATTAAAAATATTATCCCACTGTCCATAAAAAAAATAATTATGAAAAGCAATTACCAACAGGTAATTAAATAATTATAAAAAATCCAATTTTTACTCAATAGTAGAAACAGGAGTAATTTAAAAAAAAATAAAAAGGACAATTAAATATAAACTAAACTAAATTCAACTCCCAGGAAAAATTATAAAAAATATGAAAAGAAAAAATTTTTAATAAATTTTTAACAGTCCTCTGACCCTGAAAAAAAAGAAGTCATCCACGAAATTAATAAATTAACACCTCGAGAGTCAAATTACAGAATGACTTAAACTTTGGAATTCCCCTAAGAATATGAAAGTTCAAATAAACTATAAAAAGGAGAAAGGCAGCCACGCCAAGATATATACATATATTTTTTTTCTATACTAGATAATGAAAAAGAAATGACAATAGACGCTTTTGAAATTAAACATTTTTTTTTCTGAAATGATTTTCAGAAAAAAAAATGTTCTATTTTTCGAATAATGTCATTGAAGATATTGAAATACCAAGCGTTTGTTCGCGGAAGATTTATTTTTTTTCCTCACTGAAAACATTGAAATTCAGATTATCCTGAATAGGAGATTTCTCATTGCTCTTTAAACGCATCACGCACTCTGATGTTGAATGGACCAGAAATTACAATTAGATCACGTGTTTTTGTAAATAAAAAAATAATAATGAAAACAACAATGTTATTCTCACGTGAGGAATAAGTGTCAATAAAATTAGATGTAAAAATAGAATTTCAAGAAAAAGAAAAGAACTTTAAAGAAAAATTTGTCTTTTTCATTGTAAACAATGGATACAAAAATTTCTATATAATTTCCTGTAATTGCTCCAAAAAATTGTTTTATATTGCATAAATATCGAGACAAACAAAAATAGAGAAAAGAAAGGAGAGAGAGAGAGAGAAACAATAATTATATTTCAAAATCAATCGTTTGTTATGCTTGGTCTGCTTGCTTGAAAAAGAGAAAGAGAGAAGAAAAAAAATCCCCCTCGAGGAAAATATTGAAAGTGAAAAGAAGATAAATGTAATAAAAGATTATATAGTTAAAAAAGCAAAAGTAAAATGCAAATTTGGCAAGTGACTTTCTTCCTTTACATACCTATTATATAAACGTTCAACCCAAAATATCCATCGACTAGTGGGCACGACTTTACAATGTGAAGTTCCACCTCATGACCCTGGTGAGCGGATTTTAATTCCAGGATTTCCCAATGCTTTCTTCATTTACCGAGGACAAAGAAAAGATCAAAATTAAATTTTTTCCCTCCAAAAGAAACAATTGTTGACAAACACTCTCTAATAAAATTCAATACCCACCCAGAAAATAAAGAAAAAGAAGCTGAAAAAAAATATATTTTCCCTTCTTTAAAAATTAAAAAAAAAACTAAAAAAAAAATGGGGTGTGCTTAAGAAATCATTCAAGGACGTTTAAACTGATAATTGGGCTTATTAATTAGAAAGGTAAATAGCAGGCACAAACCGCTCGGTTATAGAGTCGCGTCTCAACTGATTTTCCTGAGTCAGAGCACGTTTCAAGTCAGTCTCTTGATCTCGCTGCGAAAGGCCGATCGTCAAGGTCCGGAAGAGTTCGGTCTTTCACGTTTGCCATAAGTTAACGATTTATTGATGAAAAATCAGCAATAAAAACAAAATCCATCTATTACTCTTATCCCTTCTTCAGTCTCCTCTTCATCTGAAATCATCAAATATACACTCATAAATCAAAAATTTTTATCAAAAAAAAAAAAAAAAAAACAAAATAAGTGTAAAATCTCAAATTTATTTTCTCTGAAAATATTTACAATTTAATTTCATAATTTGAAATTTTAAATTATTTGGTGATGAATACTTTTCTTAAAATATATTATTAAATACAATAATAACTGAAGTCACGTATACAAAATAATTTGAATCTCAAGTTCAAATTAATTTTATTTCGAAAAAAACAAAAAAATATGATTTTAAAGTGAATTTGTAATTTTTCTCTCCTTCATCGCCTATATTATTAATTATTGGAACTCTAAATTAAACTTTTTTAAAAGAATAATTTTTAAGAAAAATTTTACTTTAAATAAAAAATTTGAATAAATTATTATTTTTCAATTCTTTTTGATAAATTTTTTTTTCTTGAATCAAAGGATTGAGAGAAAAAATTCTACACTTGCAACTATTTGTTTTAAATTGTTTCACAGTCGAATAACGAGAGTCTCTCTCTCTCTCTCGTGAATGAAATTCTTCCAACACCTGGCGGTTTGTATTCGATAAAACTTTCGTATGACATAAGATGTCTCGTCCTTTCGAAATATTATGTAGTTATGTATTCGTGATTTCAAAGTTAGTGAAAACACATTTATATTCTATATTTAAAACGCATTCTTCCCAACATTTTGCTAAATGGAAAAACGCTTATGTATTATGGTTCTAATCGACTAGTATAAATATTAGTCTCATCTTTCTTCCAAGAATTCTGATTCAATTTTTAACACACTTTTTTCCCAAAAAAAAAAAGAAATCATTTCTAAGTTTAAAATTTTCAACGTTCAATGTCAATATTTTATGCGGTGAACAAATAAATCAAACAGTGATGAATTTGTTCTTCGAAGTTAAAAATCATCGCTTAATTTATAATTATTATTTTTACTATTAGCTTTAATTTACTGTAACAATAGAATAATAACAGATAATTATTATTATTCTATTGTTACTATTACTATTATTGCTATTATTCTATTATTATTATTATTATTACTATTATTATTATTATTATTATTATTATTATTATTATTATTATTATTATTATTATTATTATTATTATTATTTTATTATTATTATTATTGGTATTCTATTTTTATTATTATATTATATTTATTGTTATTAAATTACAGATCTGTAAATTAATTAATTTAAATTAAACATTCTTAATAAAAAAGTAGACTTTTCTGAGGCGATTTAAATTAAATCCTTATAAATGAATTTATATTGTCAAGAGCGGAAAGAGCTTTACTTTCTAACAAATTTTTCTAGCAGAAATTCGTTCTTAATAATGTTAGGCAAATTGAAAAGTAGTAAAGTGGGATGAGTGAGAGTAGCAACCTTGGCGTTACTGACTTGGTAATTGATTTGATTATGTCAAAACGATTTTTATTCTTCTCAAGCCATAATAATGGCAAATTAATCCATCTTCTTCAAACATAATTCTTTATCTACAAGGGGAATTAAATTAAACATTTTTTTCTAACATTTTTTTTATACTTTTTAATAGAAAATACTTTAAAAAACAAATTATTTTATATGGAAACTTTTTAAATTATTTATTTTCTAATAAAGAAATTGACAATATTTTAATTAATTTTAAATAAAATAATAAAATAATAGTAATGAATAGTAAAATAAATAAATAAAAGAAATTAATAATAAAAATTATAGTAATAAAATAATAATAATATAAATAATAATTATAGAAATAATAATTGTAGAAATAAATTAATAATGAGATGAATAAGAAAAAAATCCTCATAGCGGATGAAAATGATGAACTCAAGATAATGAAAATTCTTACAACTTGAGAAAAATGAAATTCGTTCTTCAGCCTTGAGAGTGAAAGTGAAGTCCGGAACAAGCTATACAGTTAGTACAAAAACAAAGTTGTGAAAAAAGTCTTCACGTATCATTGTACTAATTCATTCACGTACGTTCTGTTTCTTTAAATTTCTGTCCACTATATCCACTGCCCTAGAATCATAATTGAAAAAAATAAATAAAACCCATTTATTAAAGTAAAAGATAAATTTTTTTTAAATTAAACAAAATTTCAAAACAATTTCAAATCAAATAAAAAAATATAAAAATAAATTTCTGACGAAATTTAAAAAATAGTTAAGAGGAAAAATTAATATTTTATTAAATAAAAGAAGGAAAAAAAAGAAAATGTTAATATAGCCAAGTAGATCATGAAAATTCATGTCAAAAAAAAAGAGAAGGACAATCGCAAAAATATTATAAATTAAAATCGATTTTTTTTTGTATTTTTAGAAATATTTTAAGAATTGTAGATTTATGTAAAAAATTGACAATTTAGATCGAATAATATTCTACATATATTTAAACTCTGGTTTTAAAAATAAATTTTATTATTCGTTAAAAAAAAATTTCAAACATGTAAAATATTTTATTTTAAATAACCTGGTGCGGAAATATCATTGAATTAATATTTTATGACTAGGACATTGTTTACTGTTAAAACGCAAGTAGAATACTCATTATATATGTTAAATAAATCCAGTCGTCAAAAAATTATTCTCTTTCTCGGATCTTTATAAAAAATAAACTTCGGTTTACTTAAATTCAAACGAGTCTAAAATTTTTTTATTTATTTTCTTTCATTCCTTCAAATCTTCAATTTAGAAAAAAAACAGTAAACAAAACAAATAGTACTTTTGTTCTCCAGACACGAATTGAAGAAAAATTAATTATTAATTATTTAGAATAATTATGATAATAAAATATATTATTTTATTGAATTAAACGACCCTGTTCTGATACAAGTCCCAATGGTTGTCATTCTATATTCAATTATAATGAAACAAATCATTTCTCGGGGTGATGGTGCCATGACATTGAGTCATTACAGTATATGTATGAAATGAGAAATTGAAATTGTAAATTGAACCATATGGTCAATGTCCCTTCAAGTGGATAGTGTGCTGAAAATTTAGACACGAGCTCTGACTTTTATATATCGCACGCAGATAATTCTGAATTAATAAAATATTCCCAGGTCTTAACCTTGACAAATGCACAACTGACATCATAGATGCTTTACATTTCAATAATTATATGCCAGACGAAATACAAAGAAAAATTACAATTCCTGAATAAATACTTATATTTTATACATTTTATAACGAAGTTCAAGTCCACAATGTTGATCAACGAAAAAATTTGTTTAATCTATTCCAATATTATTTTTAATTTAATATTTTATTGTATAACAATTATTATCAGAAACATGAGTTTATTTTTTCTAAATTTTTTTGTGACAATATTGCTGCGTTATCTTTTACTAACTTACTAAGTGAACAATTTTCTTCGTTGATAAACGTTGTGGACTTTTATAAAATAATGAACATACGATTTGCATTTTGAATTCTAACAAAAGCATTGGAATTTTTTTTTTTCATTTATTTCAAATATAGTTAATTTGATGAAAATCCGGAATTTATAAAAATAATAAATAGCTTAAATTTTAGTTGTTCTATTGTTGAAAATAAATTAAAAATCAAGTTTCGAAAATATAACCTAAAAAATCATATTGCGAAATTCTTACCTTAAACCTTGTGGATTGGATGTGACAATAATTTCACTTCATAAATGAAACAAATTGCTGCAAATTTCCACAAATTAGTTAATTAGATATTTGATAATTGTTTAAAATTCACATAAACTGATGTCACTTTAAAGGAAAATTGTGTCTGTGCACTGCTGTGCCTTCGGTGCCTTTCGATTGTCGAACAAATTTGTAAGTTGCAAAATTACGTAATAATTCTCCGAAAGATTGTAGCTGGTATCTGACTTTTGCACTTTCGATCCATTTCATCCAGAGTTTGTGTCAATTATAATGAGTTTTAATTAATAATTTCTGACAAAGAGATTTAATTTAGAAATGCGTTTTTCTTTCTAGCAGACGATGAATATTTCCCAATCAAAAACGACAGTCGGTAACAGCAATGCCTTACTTATCAACTGCATAGGAAACTCCAGGGTTGAGTAGGAAAATAATTGAAAATGCGGCTTTACACAGAGGTGGACAGTTCGTGTCACATTTCATCTGTCAAAGACAGTTGATAATTTTGATCTTCGGAAATAGTATTTTTTTATTTTATTGTGTAATTGTTTTTATAATACAAGTTTATTATTGAATTAACTGGTGGAACAAAACATATTAACTGCTGGTACTTCTTATACTGCAACGCAATCATCTTATGGGAAAAAACACAAATAAAAGGTATGTAAATACAGAATAACAGAACTGTCAAAACCACGTGTTAACACATTATTTTCTCAATTCTTAAGGGCATTTGAACCATGATGACGTCACAGATTTAAAACTAATGCTTTGCACAAACTGTGACGTCATCAAGGTTCAAATCCCCTTAAAAGATATTTTAAGAGCATAATTAATGATTAAACGAACTAAGTTCGATTAAAAATAGAAAAAAAACCCTAAAGTTTAAGGTAGGAGAAATGAAACAAATGTTTATACACGATATTCATTCATTTTATAATTACTACAAAATAAATACAATATCTGTTTAGAGAATGCCTTGATGTCTCCCTCTTTAAGTTAATCGATTAACATTCATAAAATTTTTTGTAATAACATTTTCGCGCCGCATACACCATTCATAGAGACTAAAAGACACAAAAAATGTGTGCAACTATTGGTCAACAATTGCTTAAATTATGAATACAATTATGCACGTGGAATGTATGCCAGTAGCAACATTTTTTTTCTTCACAAATACTGGCAGGGTATTTTTAGCATCCCTTTAATTTATATTATTCGTATTTTTTATACGAATTTCAAATACAACATTATTCTCTGCAATTTTTTTTTTCTTTTTGATATAGAAATACATCTAGTATAGGCAGAAAATATTTAATTCCATGCAAAAATAATTTATCCCTTACATTTCTTTTGCGAAAAAACAAAAATTTCAAATGAAATCGAAAAGAACTTTTTTGTTTTCATTCACCAGAACGACATTTAACAATATATTGTTTCACGTTATATTTATCATAAACTTTTTTTAATATATTGTAATAGTAATTTTTGTAATATTATATATAGTCTTTCAAAAAAACAATTTTTTAAAAACATTTTCGAAACTTATTTGTAAAAACACATTTTTGAACTTTATTATACATAATAAGTATTTACACAAGGCTTAATAGTTCTTTTCGATATTATTTTTTTTTTTTTTGCGGTGTTCGATTACTAAAACTCGTGCAATTTACAAAAAGCAGTCGTTTGAAAATTCCGGTCAATTTTTGAAAAGAGAATTAAAAATAATGAGACAAATCCAAATTTATAGGTATTAATTTTTGTTGTATTTAAATAAAAGACAAAAAAGTTAAGTACAAGAAGAACGGCAACAAAATTTCGAAATTCCCTTGATTGAGCAAATTTCAAAAATTGAAAAATAAGCAAAAAGAAAATAGTCCGGTGTTTTCAAACTTTTTATCTTCGTGGGCTAGCTTTTCACAGAAACGCGAGCAGTGTAAATGTTTACATTTTTATCTATTTCCCGTATTCAATGATATATATTTTTTTCTCCTTTCTTTTGATAAGTTGATTTGTTTTGAATAATTTGGGTGCTTAATTTAATTTAATTTGTACAATAAATGACAATCATTTTTTTTTGTTTTTTGTTAAAACACATTTCAAATTGAACAATATTCTACAGAGAGCATTTTTTTTTCTTTTTAATAACAATATTGAACTTTTTTTCCGTCCGCCTTAAATGTCATACATTATTATTCCGCCTTAAAAAGAAATGGTGTTCGCAAATAATACAAGGAAGACTTTTCTCCTGAAGAATACGGTTTAAAAAGAAAAGAAAAATAAAATTACGATCTCAAAATTTCAATCGTTAATTTTTGATTCACAGCCTTGGCAAAAAATTGTAATTATTAATGAAAAAAAAGGTTCTTTCAAATATAAATAAATTTGTTGTCATTAGTTCTAAAATTTGCAGTCAATTCTTCAAATATATTCAAATATAAATTCAAATATATTTTCTATATTACAATAAATTGTTTAAAAAAATTCATCTTTTCTATTAAGAAGCACCCTGAAATATTTGAAATTAATTTTACATACTTACCGAAAAATTATAAATCGGTAGTTAAGTAATAAAGACGAAAATAACGGAAGTCAGTAAAAAGAAAATTATTTTCTTTATTTTAAATATAGAGAGCAAGAGAGAGAGAATTTTCTATAAAGAAAAAATTTGTTCTGTAGCTTAAAAAAATTTCTATACAAAAAAATTAAAAAATGAATAAATTAAAATATTTATAGATCGAAAAAAAATGAAATTGATCTAGAAAATAAAAATTGTATTGTATAAAATTAATTATACAGGGTGGTCACAAGTTTCAGTTTATCAATTTCCCTGACAATTTACTGAAATTAAAATTATTTTCCCTGACAAAATTCTTTTCACAGGAAAATATGAAAGTTTACGGAAAATGAGTAAAATTTATGAAATTTAATAATTTCTAAAAATTGCAATTATAATTTATAATAATAAAATATTTTCAAAAAATAAAAATAATACTTTTTTTCGTTCAACAAAATTCCATGTTATTTCCTGGTTTTTTTTCTCATCAAATTTAAATTTATTTGATTTCGAACATAAATAAATCTACAAATGTCTTTCAAAAATTTTATTAGAGTTTTTATAAATAATTAAATTCTTTTAACGAGTTTCTTTAAATTTTTTTAAAATAATGTTTTTTTTAATAATTTTAATTAAAAAATTGGAAAATAATTAAATTAAACAAAGAATTTTTTCAATTTTTTAAAATAATCTTGTCTGTTCATAATTATAATTGAAAATTTGATTTATTTTATTTTATTAAAATGTATTGATACCAATTGAATTTCTGCAAAGAATTTTACAATTTATAAAAGAAATTGAATCCTTCCAAAGAATGTTATTATTTATGAAAATAATTAAATGTTTGCGTAGAATTTTATTAAAATTTTTGAAAATAATTGAATTGTGGAGAACATTTTAATTCTTTATAAAAATAATTGAAATTTTAAGGAGAATTTAAAAAAATTTTTAATTATAATTGAATTTTTGCGAGGAATTTTAGTACTTTTGAAAATAATTGAATTGTTTTTTAGAATTTTATGAAAATTTATGAAAATAATTTAATTCTTGTGAAGAATTTTTTTTTTTTTAAATAATATTCAAAAGAATTTAGTCAATCTGAAGAATTTTGCTATTTATGGAAGTAATTGAATTTTTTCGACGAATTTTAATAAAATTTTTAAGAATAATTACATTTTTCGAGGAATTCGATTAAAATTATATTAAAAATAATTGAAAATCAGCAATGAGTTTTATTATTTATGAAAATAATTGAATATATTGCGAAGAAGTTTTTAAAAATAAAATTATAATTACGATGACTAACTTCCCTTGATTATTTTCGAAAAATTTAAATAAAATTTTTTAAAAGAATTTAATTATTTTTAATAGAATGTAAAGAAATTTCAATTATTACAAAAATTTTCAATTATTTGTTTATAAAAATTAAATTATCTTGAAACAACAGAATTGAAAAATTTCAAAAAGCTCATTTTTCAGAATTTTCAAAAAAACTTTGCGAAAATTCAATTTTATTAAAGAATGTTAAGTGTGTATCTTTTTTTAAATTAACTAATAAAAATTTTAATTATTAATCTTCACACTAAGAAACATGAATACATTAGAATGTGACTCTTTATAAAATCCAATTATTTATCAATTATTTAATTAAAATACTTTGAAAATTAGATTCATTTAAGTTATTAATGAAATTCTTTAACAAATTTAATTAATTTCAGTTGAATTTCACAAAATTTCTGTATATTTGAATCAGTGACTCATTTTTTACTATCAAATTAATTATTTTTAATTAATTCAAATTTAGAGAACAGTATGAATATCTATAAAAATTGAAATAAAAAGCGATTTTTTAAAAACAAATTAAAATTTGGTTTTACTGACATTTCCCTGACTTTACTGACTTTACTGACATGTGGCCACTCTGTCTATAGATCGAAAAATTGATCTAGAAAATAAAAATTGTTCATAAAAAATTAATTATAAATTAGAGACGGACGGAGAAAAATTGTTCGTGTCGCTCAATAATTTTCTAATTAATTAATAATTAATAATTAATAGCTTACAATTACATCTTGTTGATTTATAAGTTACTTAAAAAATATAGTTTTACCTATAAGACTGGCTAGAGATTTCTTACTCTAATGAGGATTTCTGGCTGGAATTGGAGGACCTCCTGTAGTTCTCGCCGGAATTGGAGGTGGATTATTCGGTGGCAAACTTGGCGGAGGATGCTGTGGAGGAGGTAATGGTGCTTGTCGTTGCGGTAAGGGTGGCGGAATAGAGCTTGGCGGTCTACTCGACGAGTCCTGATAGTTATCTGGACGAGGTAGTGGTGGTGGAGGTCTATTTGGTATAGGGTAACTGGGACCTTCATCCAGAATTTCCTCATAAATTGCCGATTCCGGTGACAATCTCTCCACCTCGCTTGGCTTCGGCTCAACATTATTTCTCGTCAATGGAACTGGAGGTTGATTTGGCATTACACTGAAAACTCCCGCTCGTGGTCCTGCTCGACGTTCTTGCATCGGACTCCTAAAAAAATCGAAAATTTTGAATTTATTTCTTCTTTTCAACACTATTGTTTTCGATTTTATCGTTAACAATACCTTTTGAAGTTCATCTACTTATGAAAATTGTAAACATTTTTTTTACCTGGGAGGTTGAGGACGACCAGGAGGCGCAGGCCTCGGAGGTGGTCCACTGGGACTCGTTTTCCCGGAATTGTTTCTCTCGGAAATTTTCAACTGCTCGATACCCTCAATGGGACTCACTGGTGAATTGCCATCAAATGGAGAAATATTGGTATTGCTGCAAATTTCGATTTCCTTCTCGATAAGTTTCACCCAATCGGGCGATTTGAGACTGAGTTTTAGTGGTAGATCGCAAACTGTCATTCTTGCCTCGCGAGCAGCAGCGAGTGCACATTGTCCATCTCTGAATGTCACCCAAATGGTTTCACCGACAAACCTCAGAAGAATCACATCTCCAATTGGTGATAATTCACGAACAAGAGCGTCAATGAAAGTTTCGTCAAACACATTATCAGTGTCGTCGCTCTCCTCTTCTGCCTTGACAATAATTGTCCCATCCGGTGGGCCCAGGTCAAGAATAACTTGCTTAAAAACTTCCTCCCGCTTCTCAGGATCCACACAATGAACATCGATATCAATAACAGAAATTACTGGCTTATGATCACTTTGCTTCAACTCGGCTCTCCCGTAAAATACCAATTGTCCCGGATTCCAATTCAGTGGAGAATCTACAAAAATAGATAGAATGTAAATTGTTTTCCCGTAAAATTGAATAATGAAAATTCAATATTTTTATTACCTAAATCAGGTACTTGTTTGCGACGTTTCCACAAAATTCGATCGGTCCAAGCGGGCTGACGACACTTTTCACTCGTGTCATAATCGTCCGAAAACAAATCGTACTTATAAGTGGGTGCGAAATTTATAGAACCTTCCATGAAATTTTTAAATACATTCCCACCCTCCTGTTGTACCTGTAAAGCAGCAAAAACAAAAGTTTAACATTTAACCGAACTGCTAAAATAGTTGGGTTAAATTTTCTTAAAATCGATACTAAAAACTAGTCAACAATTTAAATTACATAGTATTTAAACAATTCTCACCCTCAATTGATCATTCTGTAAAATTTGATCATACTCGTGCCTCTTGATCATTTCCTTCATTTCATCCTTATCCATATCGACACGATAATTAAAATCACCACACCAAAATACATAATCGTGAGTATTTAGTGTTCTTCCCATTGGGAATGCAATTTTCCTAGTGATTTCCGCATAATCGGCATTACGCTCGCTAACTTGTGACTGACCAGCAGCAAAGTGAGCGCACACAAAACAAAAAGAGGTAGAATATAAAACGCATCTAATAGCAGCAGCACCCTTATTACCAGTTGCACCACCTAGACCAGTCTTCACACTATCGACAGCCACATCCCTCAAAAATGGTGCATGTTTTGGTTTTATAAAAAAATAGAGACACACTCCAACTAATTGCTGATAAGTTATTAGAATATATTCGCTGTCTCGTGACAAAACTTTTTGCAATTCATCAGCCCAAGCTTTTGCATTTTCCGTACTAGCTGCCATTATATTACTTGCATTCAAATCGACAATTTCCTCGAAACCTATTACGTAAAGATCCGCTGGGATATTGTCGTACTCCGTGTCAACAAGAGCTGAAAAAGAATACACAACAAAATATTGTAATTTGAAATTTTACTCTTTCAAACGTCGCACTCGATAATTAATTTTAAAAAAGTAGCAAAAAGTAGCTTTCAAACTTAAAAAAAGTGATAAAAAAGTAACTATCGAAAAATTAGACTTGACGACCAAAAAAAACTCGTTGTAAACACTTGACAAAACTGACAAAAATTCCATTCTATATTTTCCTGACTTTCTCCTAATTTTCATCGCAAAAATATTTCCTTCTGTCTTATCCTGCTAATAAATTCAACTCCTGCAACGAATTTTATAATTCAAGAAACAATTTAAATATTTATAAAAATAATTTAATTCTTGCGAAGAATTTTAAAAACATTTTTAAATAACTGATTTCTTTCGACTAATTTTATGCAAATTCTAATTTAAATAATTCAATTTCTAACAAATTTTATTATTCATGAAAAGAATTGAATTCTTATGAAGATTTTTACAAACAATTTTTTAAATAATTGAATTCTGTTTTAAAATTTTATGAAAATAGTAGTAATTAAGAATCATTAAATTGCGAAAAGTTGTTAAAAATAATTAAATTTTACAAAAAATTCTATTAAAATTTTTGACAATAATTGAATGTCTATGTGGTATTTTATTAAATTTTTTTAAAAATAATTTAAGAAAATAATTGAATTCTTACGAACGATTTTATTATAATTTTTTAAAATAATTTAATTTTCAATTAGAAATTTATTCCTTTTAAAAATAATTGAATTCTTGTGATGAATATTGTTATTTACGTAAATAATTGAATTTTGTAAACAATTTGATTAAAATTCCTCAAAATAATTGAATCTTCGTGAAGAATTTTATTAAAATCTAAAAGAATAATTTAATTATTTCAAAAAAATTTAATTAAAATTTTATTTAAAATAATTGATTTCTTTCGAACAAGTTTATTAAAATATTTGAAAATAGTTGAATTCCAATGAAAATTTCTAATATTTTTGTCAATAATTGAATTCTTCCAAAGAATTTAAAAAAATATTTTTTAAATATGTAATTGATTTTTTTGAGGAATTGAAATCAGATTTTTAAGAATAATTACATTTTTTGAGCAATTCCTGTAAAATTGTATTAAAAATAATTGGAATCCTGCGATAAGTTTTATTGTTTATAAAAATAATTGAATAGTTGCTAAAAACTTTATTAAAATTTTCAAAATTAATTGATTTCCTGGGAATTCATAGAAACAATATTCGAAAATTTTTCTAAATTCAATTATTTTTAAAATTTATTTTAGTAACAAAATTTTATAAAATTCTTTGCAAACATTCAATTATTTTCATAAATAATAAAAATTTTAACAGAAATTCAATAATTTAAAACACAATTCTTCTAAAATTTTTCGAAAAAAACCAATTACTTAAAAAAATGTTTATAAAATTCTTAACAAGAATTCAATTATTTTCAAAAATATTAAAATTTTCCAAGGGAATTCAATTATTTTCATAAATACTAAAATTTTTCTCAGGAATTCAATCATCTTTAAAAATTGTAATAAAAGTCGTTGCGATAATTGAATTATTTTAAGAAATAATACAATTTTCCCGGTAATTCAATAATTTAAAACACAATTTTCTAAAAATTCTTCGAAAAAAACCAATTAATTAAAAAGATTTTTACAAAAACTGTTCGCAAGAATTAAATTATTTTAAATATTTTTGATATTTAATTATTAGAATTTAATAATTTAAAAATCGTATTAAAAATAATTGAAATTCTTCGGTGAGTTTTATTTTTTATAGAAATGTAATTAGTGAAATGAATTGAATTATTGTGAAGAATTGTATAAAAATTTTGTTAAATAATTGATTTTTCGAATTTTTTTTTGAAAATGCTGTTCAAAATCAATTGAATTCCTGTGGAAATTTTATTATTTATGAAAATAATTGAATTTTGGATGACTTTTAACAATTTTTTTTAAATAATTGAATTCTTTTGCGAAATTTTATGAAAATACTAGATAGTAAAAATAATTGGATTTCGATTATTTTATCAAAATAATAATTGAATCGTTTTAAAGAATTTCATTATAATTTTTGAGAATAGTTTTTTTATTTCTAGTATTAGCGAATATTAGTAGTGGAAATTTTCAAAAAAAAAAAAAAAAAAACAGAAATAGTAGCTTTTAGTGTCTGAAATCTAAAAAAGTACTCAAGTAGTAGGATAACGTAAAAAAATTAGTAAATAGTAGGTTTTGGTGGATGAGGGCAAAGCCTGCTTTTTGAAAAAATGATTTCAATATTTGTTAATTAATAGATATTCAAAAGTTAATATAATTATATTAATAATTAATTAATTAAATTAATTTAATTAAGGGGACACCTAAGTGGAAAAATGACAAAAAAATCGATTTTTTTAAATTTGATTTTCTAAAAGTAGACTCAATTAGGAATAGAACAAGACTTTTTAAAACCTTTTCTAAAGAGTAGAAAAAATCTGATTACATGATTCTGAATACCATGAGTTTTTAGTATTTTTTCTTTTTTCGTGTCTCCTGTAAAAATTGTTTTTTTTCAATTTTTTAACTTTCGGTACACTTTTCTCCGAATCTACTAAACCGATTTGTAATTTTTTTTTTTACTTTGTTCAGTAAGGTTCCAAGAATATGAATAAGAAGTTTAACATCATTTTGAGTTGTACAAACGGAGATATGAGTCACTGAATCAGAGAAAATGGGATTTTTATTTTGCTTTGGGTATAAATATTCATAAAAAAGTTTCTATTGAAGATAACGTCGTATTACTTCTTATTCATATACTTGATTATTCTTCGCTTGTCTTCCTCAATAATTACACACAGTAGTAATCCCTTATCTACACCCAACGGTACAGTTTATAGCACCACAGGTAGCAAATTCTCAAAAATCCCCTCTACTTCTCTCCGGCCGGTGTCCTCTTCGATTACCTCACTTCGTTATTTGTACCCAACGGAACAACATCGTGTAAAATGAAACGTTCTCAAAGTGAAAAGAAAAGTGTTTCAAAGAAAAGAAAACTCGACAAAATTTTACAAGAAGTGCGGCAAATCAGAGATGAGATTTCCAGTTATTCTTCAAGCGGAAGTGAATCTGAAAATACTAGTAAGTAAATAATTAAAAAGTGGGCCGCCATGCCTTCATTATAAATTAGTTAAATTGATTTTCGCTAAAAAATCAGAAACTACATAAAATCATATGGCCTCGCTATAGGTCTATTAAAAATTATAAATCATTTAAAATTTATAAAATTCGACTTCGCTATAAGTCCATAAAAATTACTTAATAATTAAATTTTAAAACCAAAGTTTTGCTATAAACATTACAAAAATTAAAGTCAATATTAAATATTCTCAACAATTTACGAAATTAAATTTTAAATTCACAGGCGACACTGAGAAAATTTCCTCTCCGGGCCCATCCGATAACAATAACGAGGACAATAGAGGAAAGGAAAACAATGAAAGTACAAACAAACTCATTGACCTTCTGGGATCAAATCCCGAAAATAAAAACAAGCAACAAGATCCCCTTCATGAGGAAATTTGTCTGCGATGGAATGTTTACCTGAAGCAAGGACTAAATAAGGAACAAAAAGAGGAAGTCATGAAAAAATATCCAGTGTTTGAAAATTGCCAACTAATGATGCCTCCAAAACTAAATGCAGAAGTGCAACACTGCATGGATAGTAAAGCTATTCGACACGATCAATTCCTGGAGAAACTGCAATTACAAGTTGCTCATGCCTTATCAGCAACAGGTGTAGAATTGAATAATATTCTAAAATCTGAGAATCAAGAAGAATTAAAAAATACATGCTCGACCCTTGCAGATATTGGCCAACTACTTTGCAATATTCATCAAGCTATCTCATCAAGTAGGAAATATCAAATCCTACCCTACTTGAACTATAGTTCCAGGAAGCTAATCGAAAATAGCGATAGAGACGAGTTCCTTTTAGGTTCAAATTTTGCCGAAAACGTCAAATCAAAAGAAGCCGTTCATAAAGTTGCGAAGGATTTAAAAGTAGTTAAAAAACATTACACCAATAAGCCTTCCACATCAAAACATCAGACACAGTCATCGGATTTCCATTCAAAAAATACAAGGAAACAACAGGATCATTTAAACTATCCACGACATCCTTCGTCTCAAAGGAAAAAGTACACTCCATCGATCAAGGACCAGGACCATCAAAAGAGGGGCCGAACCAAGAAATATTAACTGAGGTAAGCCCATATGCGGGTCGTTTAAAACATTTCTTTCACAATTGGTTAGAAATCACCCATAATAAGTCTATTTTACAGTGGACTCAGGGAATTAAAATACCTTTTTCTAAATTTCCCAAACAAAATATAAAACCAAAGGTAACCATACATACCAATGAAAAAATTCATTACAATGCGGCTATAAAAGAGTTAAAAAATGTAGGGGCAATTCAAGAAAAAAATTATAAAAAGGGTGAATTTTTCTCCAGCTACTTTTTAGCTCTGAAACCGAATGGCAAGTATCGATTCATTTTAAATTTAAAAAAACTTAATCAATCTATTCAAACTAGTCACTTTAAATTAGAAGATTATAGAACCGCTTCTAAATTAATAACTCAAGACAATTTTTTAGCTATCATTGATATGAAAGATGCTTATTATCTTCTACCAATACATGAAGAACATAAAAAATATTTGAGATTTGAATACGAAAACAAAATATTCGAATTCCAATGCTTACCATTCGGTCTCAATATTGCCCCATACATTTTTACTAAACTCTTGAAGCCTGTAATTCAATATCTCAGAGAAACATTAAACGTTCTCTGCGTTATCTACCTAGATGATTTACTGATAATAGGTAAAACCAAAAAAGAATGTACCACATCAGTAAATCACGCCCTTGAATTACTAAAAAAGCTAGGTTTCTTAATAAATCACAAAAAAAGCAATTTAATACCCTCGAAAGAAATAAAATTTTTAGGATTCCTCTATAACAGCCATGATATGACAATAAGACTGCCCGACGACAAAAAACTAAAATTAGTTAAAACTCTAAATTATATAAAAAATAAAAATTATTGTTCAGTAAGAGACTTCGCGAGCATAATCGGGAAATTAGTCGCAGCGTGCCCTGCTGTTAAGTATGGCTGGGTTCACATTAAAAATTTAGAAAGGGCTAAATTCGAGACGTTAAAAATAGAACCTGAAAATTATAATAGAAAAATGCATATACCCTCTTATACAAATCATGAATTAGAATGGTGGATAAATAATGTAAAATCATCTCATCAAAATATGAAAACCCCAACAAATTTTCAAATTGAAATTTTCACAGATGCTTCAAAAACGGGTTGGGGAGCTTGCGCGAATGGGAAGGAAACAAAAGGCTTTTGGTCAACTAATGAACAAAATTTACACATTAATCAATTAGAATTACGCGCAGCCTTCTATGGATTACAATCATTTGCTAAAGAATTTTCAAACTGCGCAATTCTATTGCGCATTGATAACAAAACAGCAATTGCTTGTATTAACAAAAAAGGGAGCGTTCAATTTCCAAAATTGAATAAAATAGTATACAAAATTTGGCACTGGTGTGAATCAAAAAACATTGAAATATTCGCATCATATATTTCAACCAAAGAAAATGTTTTTGCTGACCGTCAGTCCAGATCTCAATTCATAGAAACCGAGTACTCGCTAAATAATAAAGTGTTCAGTACAATTTGCTCAAAATTTAATTACCCTACAATAGATTTATTTGCCTCGATGCAAAATAAAAAGTGTAAAAGATATGTATCATGGGGACCTGACCCAAACTCAGAATACGTTGACGCATTCACACTGAATTGGCAAAACGAATACTTTTACGCTTTTCCTCCTTTTTCATTAATAACGAGAGTATTAGATAAAATCATTCAAGACAAAGCTGAAGGAATAGTTATAGTACCAAAATGGCCCTCCCAACCTTGGTACCCACTTTTTAAGAAACTTTTGAATGCCACTGCACTTTATTTTATGCCACAAAATGATTTAATTCTCTCTCCTTTCAGCCAGCCACATCCTCTGCACAAAACACTTATCCTGGTTGCAGGGAATTTGTCAGGGAAAAATGGATAAAAAATCAAATTCCACATAAGGCAATTCCAACTATGTTAAACTCAATTTCGCAAAATACTTTAAAACAGTATAATAGTGTTTATAAAAAGTGGTGGGAATTTTCCACTAATTATAATCAAAATCCGTTTGAATACAATCTTGAAAGAATATCAGATTATTTAATAGAATTATCAGAAAAAGATTTATCATTTTCAAGTGTAAACACTCATAAATCAGCGCTTTCCTTTTTATTTTCATTTAATCCGGAAGATGATAAAATCTTAAAAAGAATACTTAAAGGAATTTATAATAAAAAACCGCCCACACCGAAATACGAGTCAACTTGGGATCCTAGTCCAGTTCTAGATTATTTAAAAAAATTACATCCTCTTTCAACACTAAATCTCACACAAATCACACTTAAATTAACTATGCTACTTGCTCTTACAACAGGCCATAGAGTTCAGACATTTTCGTCAATTCAATTAGAAAACATAAAATTTTTGCAAGATAAAATAGAAATTAAAATATCAGGAAAAATGAAAACCTCAGGAAAAAATAAATATCAACCACTAATTATACTACCATTCTTTGCAGAATGCCCAGAGCTTTGTGTGGCAACAGTTTTACAATTCTATATAGAAAAAACAAAAGAATTGCGACCAAGCAATGAGCAATTTTTGCTTATAACATATAAAAAACCCTATCATAGAGCAACATCACAATCAGTTAGTAGGTGGTTGAAAACAACCTTACAAGAAAGTGGAATAGATACAAACACTTTCTCAGGATATAGTACTAGACATGCGTCCACCTCTGCAGCATACAGAAAAGGTATTAATATCGAAACGATACGCAAAACTGCAGGGTGGACTCATGCCTCTGAAACTTTCAATAAATTTTATAATAAACCGATAACACAAAATTCCGACGCATTTGCAAGAGCTGTGTTAAATTTAAACAAAAAATAATTGTATGTAAAAGAAAAATTATTTGTTCATCGTTCAGTTTATCGTTTAATATTTAATCGTGTTTAATTAATACCTGTTAATTAATGAATGAAAAAAAAAAAAAAAAAAAAAATTTGTATTATTATTATAATAATAATTAATTAAATTGTTAAAAAAAGTTATATTGTAATTAAAAAATACATAAATAAAAACAAACGTTCAGATCACAAAGTCTTATCTTTAAACATCTACTGTGTGTAATTATTGAGGAAGACAAGCGAAGAATAATTGTAAGATTGATCGACTTACCTGATAAGGAAGATCAATCGAAATTATTCGAGCTTGTCTTCCGAAAATAATTACATTCCCTCCCTCCCATTCATATACCCTAAGTGATCTGAAATAATAGAAAAAAAACCAAACAACGAAGTGAGGTAATCGAAGAGGACACCGGCCGGAGAGAAGTAGAGGGGATTTTTGAGAATTTGCTACCTGTGGTGCTATAAACTGTACCGTTGGGTGTAGATAAGGGATTACTACTGTGTGTAATTATTTTCGGAAGACAAGCTCGAATAATTTCGATTGATCTTCCTTATCAGGTAAGTCGATCAATCTTACAATTATATTTGTAATCGAATGAAAAAAAGGCGAACGCAATTGGAATAATAGTTTTCGAGAAAAGTGTACCGAAAGTTGACTCTTTTTGCATTGTTTTTAGGTGACTTGGGTGTCCCCTTAATAATAAAATAGAGAAGGTTGTTTTACCTGTGGAATTTAGAGGCGCATCTAGAAGCCAATCGGCCAGGGATAAATCCTTATAAACAACGCTTCGAAAATGCTTTCCTCCATTGACATTGTAAGTTCCGACGCAAACCCTAAGTCTCATTGTGTCGACGTATTCATTATATCTCTTGCACATTTCCCTGAGTACACTAGGAGGTGCATGAAGCATATTCGACGGGAGAAGCAATCTCGCTCTATCGGCCAATTCAGTGCTAAGTGTCGATCCCAACAGAAGAATATCAATCGCCTCCTGTTTACTCGAATCCAAAAGATTATTTTGTATCGTCCTCGCAGCAGATCTCGCTCCGTCCATTAATTTCGAACTTCCCTGTATTGCTCCCGTTCCAGCGTAAATTTTACTAACCTCATTACCATTATTAATCCACATTTGACGAAAGACTTCCTCGAATCTAGAAACCATTTGCTGTTTCTCGAAAATATTCAATAAACTAAGTTGCTTTGAGAGCATTTCCAGCGCGATAAATGTCTGCACACAATTTGTCCTATCGAGACAATCGAGACAATTGGTGCGTATTGTACCTTTTTGTTCGTTAATTCGATTACCGCCGACAGCATAAAACAGAGAGAATGATTCGAGATATTTTTCAATTTTGGCTTTTAGTTTGGAGAGATTTTTATTATTTCCACCACGGCATTCCTGATGATAGTCAAATAGTATGTGGGGAACATTCTTGTGTCGTGACATACTGTGATGGGTTTGAAATAATTGGCTGAGCATTGCTTCGCCTTCTTTACTGCCAATTAAACTCGAACCGAGGAGATTAACAATCACTTGATGTCCGTAACGTTGTTTTATCATTGCCAAATGTCTATCGAATGCCGGTGCCGAAGCTTCAAATCCACGGGAAATTTTCACCTTGTGCGAACCAACTTGAATGCCCGGTTGCTCCCAAAATAGTGGAACCGAACCTCGGGTTTGAATGTATGAAGCGACTTCATTGTCCAGGAAAATCGCTTGCTCAGTCTCGACAAAATTCGCCACATGCCCATCGTCATTTGTTCCTCGAACGTTGAATCTAAAATTCAAATTGTTATCAAAATCAAAATTATTTCTTACCAAAAGTCTCAAATATTCAAAATGGAATTTCTCTTAAAAAAAAATTGTTTTTAGTTATTTCACGTTTTGTAAATTATTACCTTGTTCCCGCTCGTTCGCAACTTAATCTCGATATGACAACAGCTCGAGCCTGTCTGTGTCCTACGTAAACGGTTCTAATTTCCACACTGCCGCACATGACTTTTAACAGCCACTGAATTGTATTTACTCCAAATCGTAGTAAATGTATGTGAAGCATTCGATTCCTGAAAAACAAATTTTTTATTATTTAAATAAGTAAAATTTATATTCTACTTCTTTCTTCCCTTTATCGAAAACTATTCGAGTTATTTAAAAATTACACTGACCCTAAAGAAAATTCATTTTCATTCTAAAAATTATTAGATACTCAAAAAATAGTTTCTATTACACATACAATTTTCGAATTTCTTTAATTGTAACTTCTTCAAAATTATTTTCATGATTTCAATTCAATTATTATTTTCCAGAATTTTTAACTAAAATTATTCTTTAAATCAACTATTTTTAATAATGTATTTGGAAAAGTTTTTTAAAAATATTTAAATTCATTTCTTTACCATTCAATTTTATGAAATTTCGATTATTCCTAAATTTTTATATTAGAAAATAAAAAATACAAATAATTTTTAAAAAATTCAATTAAATTTTTAAAAAAAAATTAATTTTATACACTTGTTAGTTAAAAGTAGAAAAATAAAGATTTTCAAAGATTTTAATTTTAAACCTCTTCAAAATTCAATTATTTATTTCTTTCTAAAATTTTAACTGAAATTCATTTTTAAATCAATTTTTATTAAAAAATTCCACGAGAATTCAATTTTAATTAATTGAATTCTTTCGACGAATTTTAATAAAATTTTTAAGAATAATTAGTTTTGAAGGAAATCTATTAAAATTAAATTTTAAAAAATTGAAATTCTGACAAGAATTTTATAAAATTTTTGAAAATAATTGAATTTTGGAGAAAAATTTTATTATTTATAAAGACAATTGAAATCTTGATAAGAATTTTATTAAAAATTTTGAAAATGATTGAATTTTGACAAAGAATTTTGCTATTTACAAAAGATAATTAAATTCTTGTCAATTTTTTAAAAAAAATTTTAATAACTGAATTCTGTTTATAATTTTATTACTTTTGATGAAAATAATTGGATTTTGCAAAACATTTTATTAAAATTTCTAAAAATAATAGAATTTCAGGAATAATTCTTTTTTTTATCAAAGTAATTGAATTCTTTTGAAAAATTTTAATAAAATTAATCTGCATAATTACATTTTTCAAGGAATTCGATTAAAATTGTATTAAAAATAATTCAAATTGTGCAATGAGTTTTATTGTTTATAAAAATAATTGAATTTCTAAAAGGAATTTTATTATTTCTGAAAATAATTGAATCAGTGCGAAGTAATTAATAAAAAATTTGTAAATATTTAAATTCCTGTAAAATTGTTATTATTTATGTAAATAAAAAATAACAAAATTCTTTGCAAATCTTCAAATTACTTTCAGAAATTTTAATAAAATTTTACGAAAGAATTTAAATATTTTCATTAAATAATAAAAATTTAAAAATCATTGTAAAAAATCAATCATTTTGAAAAATCTTAATAAAATTCTTGGCAAGTATTCAATTATTTTCATTCAAAATTTTCACAGAAATTCAATTATTCTAAAAAGTTTTAATAAAACTTTTTCTTAGGAATTCAATTAATTTTTATAAAATTTTTTTAAAAATTCTCGATGAGATTCAATTATTTTTTAAATTCTAATGAAATTCTTCAAAAAAATCCAATTATTCTTAAGAATTTTGATACAATTCTTTATAATAATTAAATAATTTTCAATACAATTTTAATTGAATTCCATGAAAGAATTAATAATTTTAATTTTTTTTTTAAATTGTAATAATTGAATTCTGGTCGAAAAATTATATTATTTGTGTGAAAATAATTGAATTCTTGCAAAGAATTTTATATTGCTTAAAATTTTACATAATTTATGATAATAATTAAAGTCGTTCGAGAAATTTAATTAAAATTGCATTCAAAATAATTAAATTTTTATAAAGAACTTTATTTAAACTTTTGAATAAGTAATTGAAATCTTTAGAGAAATTTTTTTAAACTTTTATTCAGAATAATTGCATTTTTGAGAAGAATTTTATTTATGAAAATAATTGAATCCCTGTAAAAATTTTATTATTTACGAAAATAATGGAATTATTATTATTTCTACTATCCCTGACTTTTCCCTGAATTCCCAAAGCTGTGACAACTATGTAATAATTTAATCAAACACAGTAATCAAATTTAAAAAATTTACAAAAAGATTATTACATAATTATTAATAAAGTAATAATCTAATTTAATATAGTAAAACTGTTATCGGAAAATAATTTTAAAAACAAGTGGATACTAACCAGAAAAACCTATTATCAGTGGTCGATGATTTATATCGCCTTTGAGCACTGAGAGTGATATCGAACACATCCTGTTGTCCTGAGGACCAAGAGAAATAAAATGTGCCCGAATTTAGCACTTTTCTCACTTCTGATACTCTGTCCTCGTTTGTCTGTACATAAAATAATGGCACGACATTTGTCTGTGTGATTCTGAAAACTTCGGATTCTCCAATTTTCCCCACTGAGAAACATCCGGTAACGAGAACAAGATACAATAATGTATTATCGCCTGCATTTAATTGCAAAACACCTAGACATCCATAAGCGTCGAGGAGTTTCGTATAATTTGGTTTTAGGGTTTCAGTCTCATAAGCAGCTGCAAAAATATTTAAATTAGTTATATTTTGTAAATAAATAGAAACAATTTTGATTTGAAAAAACAAATTCAACAAATTCGATTTTTTTCGATTATTATTTTCAAGTTGTCAAAAATGATGTCAATAATAAAATCAAGTGATGATCGAGTCAAAACAATAATTTTTCCAATGTTGACGATCATGATGATAGATAAGACAGGTCGAAATATTTGCATTCTCTGCCAGGTATATAACAGGTAAAACAGGTATATAAAATTGTACCTGGAGAAAATAGTTTTGTGACGCGTGGGAAACACAAAATGGTCTTGAGATTTTTGTTCTCATCAATGTTTTTTTTCTGCTTTTTTTTGTTTTGATTAAATACTTACAAAGTACAGCAACAGCCTGTGATTCAAAGAGGACAGTTTCCTTGTAATTTCGATGTTCCAGTAGAAGGGAATGTGGGCTTGCTTGTTTCTGCTTTATTTTCTCGTAGACGCGAAAACTTTTGCCCATCGCCATTGTTAAGCCGATGCAACGAACTGTATACTATTGTTTAACAAACTTGAAAATCTTGAATGACAGCCGACGACAAAATTGTCATGCACTTCCCTATGAATTCGCGAGAAACTCCCAGCTGGAGTTTGATAATTCCTCCCTCCTCGAAAATAGTCTTGATGACCCTTTTCTTCTGTCTCTTTTGCTCCTCTACATATATTGTATTCACTAATACAAAAAAAACACAGACAACACACATAAAGCTGTGTATAGTTTCGTCGATATTTCGATTTTTGTTTTCACTTTATACAACGCGGGGGCGTTTTTCACGATTTGCGCGCTCAATTTAAATATTTCTTCTATCAGGATTGCCACAAAACTTTAATTTTATTTTTCCCTGATTTCCAGATAAAATTTTCACTTTTTCCTGAAATTCATTTTTTAATAAATTTTTCGAAAATTTAATTATTTACATACAAAAATAAATTTATTTAATGATTGAATATTTCTTAAAATTGAATTTTTAGGAAGAATTTTATCAAAATTTTTAAAAATAATTGAATTCCGGAGAAAAATATTATTATTCATGAAAATAATTAATTTCTTGTTAAGAATTTTATTTAAAGTTTTTAAAATAATTGAATTTCTCAGAATTTAAAAAAAAATTTTGAAAATAATTAAATTCCATTGAGAAATTGAAAATAATTTACATCTGACAAAGAATTTAAAAAAGAATTCTTTTTTTAAATACGACCAAAAAAAAATTCCGATGATGTAAAGAAAAATAAAAAATTGAAATTATGTACTTTTATTTGAGATTAGTTATTATTACATTGACCAAGCGATGTATTTTTCAATTTATAATTACTTGAAATTTTATCATCGGGATTACTACAGACTAATTAATTAATTATAACGATATATTTAATTAAATACTTGGAAAAACAGTGATGGCCTAAGTCTAAGTTTCACATGTGACTTTAATCGTTGCATAAACAGTACATATATTCATTAAAAAACAACACTCAGTCATATATATAGTATACTTGTGCAATTATTTACAAGAAACATTATTATCAAAGGACATCAGCTTTATTATTTATTTTCCCATTAATTTTTTTTTTTTGTTTCCTTAATATTAACAATACTTAGAAGCAAGTAATGACAAACTTGCAATTACAAATTACAATAGAGATTACAACAGATAAAATTTGATCCCTCATCTAAAGATTTTAGGTTTGTTGATACATAATTAGATAATTACATACAATTGAATTATATGATTTAAAGAATTAGATTCTTAGAATTTTGTCGCGCAATTCCAGAATTTATAAATTAAAATAGAAATTTGTTTACTAAAAAAAAGTATTCGGCATTTTTTTTATACATTATCAAGTAAACAAATTATTCACAAAAAAAGAAAATTCATATTTTCTGATTCCCTTTTCTAAATATTCAAATCTCTTTTTGCAACAAAAAAAAGAGATTTCTAAACATTAAAAATGTTTTATTAAAAATTCGCACCTTTCTGCGAATTTTTGAATAAAATAAAAAAATTATAACTAAAAATAAACGGTACAAAAGTACAATTCAAAAAAAAAATTGCTAAGGAAAAATAAAACTTGAATAATTTTCAAGTATTATTTGAGTATGAATTTGCACGAATTCCTTATAACAAGAAAATTTCAGTCTAGCGCATTTATCTAAGTCAAAGAACTTTACAAGAATAGCTAAATATCGTATGAATATAGCAGTAAAATGGATTTCTCACATAATTAATAAATAATCGTTACTTTTTCAAATTTTCATTGCAATTCTTTTGCTTCCTTTGACACTGAATTAATTGTTTAACTATTTACAATACTCAGTAAACTTCACTGAATTTGTCGAGTTTTCTCTTTTCGTGTTCTCTTAAAGAGAATCTAGAATCCTTCTTTTCCCTAATTCATTATTCGACTCATATATTAATTGAAAAGAAAACCATAATTTAAGTTCTTTTAGACATCGAGAAAATCTTTTAATAACGTGACACGACGTTTTTCTGCAATATCCATCTGATTCTCCAAATCTCCACGATCAGTTGTCTCAGCTCTTTCAATTTTCCACGAGAGATTCTCTATTTCGGCCTCCAATTGAGCTTGTTGATATTCAAACTAAATTTTTGAAAATAAAAATTATTTTTTGTTCTTTTGAGAGTTTTGGAAATTTTGAATTTTTTTTTGTTCATACCAATTCTTTTCGTGGCCCTGCCTCCATATAGTAAGCATAAGGATATGTGTATTGTAAAGTGTAACGACAGCGAGCCAATAAAGAGGCAGCTTCGTACAAATGTTGCCAATCGATCCAAGTTCCACTTGCATTCATTACTTTCTTATTAATCCTCATTTTTATGACCTCCAAGGTCTGTTGTTCTAACTTTAAAGATTTACTGTGATTCTCCCACTGGAAAATTGTCAATATTTGTCAATATTTTAATAAAAATAAAAAACATTCAAATTGAGAACGGAATTGAAATTTATAACTGGTTTAGTCTTAAAAAATATTTAATATCTAATATTATCTTGAAATTAAAATATTGAAATACGAAATTGAAATTGTAATTGTAATTGAAATTGAAATTAAAGTATTAAAATATTGAAGAACTTGAAAATATTTTAAGGTCATTGTTTTGATTTAAAAATAAAATTGAAATTTCTGTGTGAAAATTTAGTTACCCTTTCGTAATAATGAAGATACTTTTTAAGAGCTTCTCTAGCTTGAGCGTGAACGCTTTCATGAGCAATATTTGGATTTTCCTTGTAACGTGAACATTCATAATATTCACTTCCGTGTGCTTTCCAGTCACCAAGGCACATCCAACAAAATTCGTGTTTACAAGTGTAACACTGCATGTGATTACAACCTCCGTTTTTCTCTATACAAATATGACATTTTGGACACTGAAACAGAATTAAGACGCAAAGATAAAAAACAAAACTTAAAGAAATCTATTCTATTGCGCATAATTAATATAAAGAAAAGTTTTCTTCTGTTTAGTTTGAACTTACGTCTTTGGTATGGGCACTGATATAATTTGCAGTTTCTGAATCGTCTGCACATTTTGTCAACCATTTTTTAATGGTATTACAATCAGTCGGCGCATGATAGTCCATACCACATCGAAAACTAAAAAATTAGTTAATTTTAAAAAACAATTTTATCAACAGGGTTGAAACAAACATTAAATTTTGTTTTTCCCGGAATTTTCCTTGATTTCAAAAGACAAAATTCTGACTTTTCCCCTGACCCTAAAGAATATTCTGATTCACTCTAAAAATTATTACCTACTCAAAAAAATGTTCTATATGACATTTATTTACGAATTTCTTTAATTGCTTAAAATTCAATTTTACGAAATTTCGTTTATTCGTAAATTCTTCAATTAAATATATTTTAGAAAATAAAAACTTCAAATCATTTTAAAAAAATTAAAATAAACTTCTTCAAAAAATTTAATTCTAAAGAATTGTTAGTTAAAAGTATAAAAAAATTCAAATTTTCCAAGATTTTAATTTCAAACGTTTTTCTACGAGAATTCAATTATTAAAATACAAAAATTAAATTTTATTAACATTTTTTTAACTAATTGAATTCTTTTAAAAAATAATATTAAAATAATAGATATTGACAATCATTGAATTGAGGACAATTTTTAAAAACAATTGAATTTTAGAGCATTTTATTATTTTTAAAAATAATTGAAATGTTGTAGAGAATTTTTGAAAGTTTTTGAACTTTGAATTTCTGAGAAAAATTTAATTACTTTTGAAAAAATAATTTAAATTTTGCAAAGGATTTTATTAAAATTTTTGAAAATAATTAAATTTCTGCAATCATTTGCAGCTTTTTCAAAATTCAATTATTTCTAAAAATTCGTGGATTTAATATTCAATTATTATCTAAAATTTTAACTAAAATTCATTTTTGAATCAATTTTTATTTGAAAATTCTACAAGAATTAAATTATTTAAATACTAAATTAAATAATTTACTGAATAATTAAATGTTTTTTAAAATTGAATTATCATAAAGAAATTTATCAACAAATTTTTAAATAATTAAATTTTTTCGATGAATTTTAATATAATTTTTAAGAATAATATAACATTTTTCTAGGAATTTGATTAAAATTGTATTAAAAATAATTGAAATTATGCGATGAGTTTTATTATTTATGAAAATAATTTAATTATTGCGAAGTTTGTCAAAAATTTGAAAATGATAGAATTCTCGTGAAATTTTTATTATTTATCAAAATGATTAAATGTTTGAGTAGAATTTTATTAAAAATTTTTTTAAATAATTGAATTCTTTTAAAAAATGTTTTTAAAAATCATTGAATTGAGAAAAATTGTTGAAAATAATTAAATCTCGAAGAATAATTTTATTATTTATAAAGATAATTAAAATTTTTACGAGAATTTAAAAAAAAATTTGAACATAATTGAATTTTTGAGAAAAATTGTATTACTTTTAAGTAAAATTATTTCTTAAATAATTAAGTTATTTAAAAAGAAATTATTGTCAGAAATATAAAAAATTGAAGGTTTTGTATAAGAATTCGTGGTAATTTCATGAGGCAAACAAAAAAGAATTTTCTTATGAATTATAAAAATTTAACTTTTTCCTGTACTTTAAAAAAAATCCCTGAATAATTCTACTTTTCCTGACTTCCCTGATTTGTAGCAAGTCTAATCATGAATGCAAATATTGACAACAAAAAATGACAAAAACTTACCAAAATATACTTTTGCATGACGAGCACTTGACTCGTTTAGCTCGATGTTCCTTGGATCGCATGACAATTTGACAATTAGGACCCGGACAAAATCTCAATTGCGGATGTGATTTAACATAATCTCGAAAAGCAAATTGCTGATATCTTTCTCGCATACTCGGTTTTGTCAAAAGCGTGAGCACAAAATCTTCTGGTACCAAAACGTCGCACTCTTGCGCCATACAACTGATTCCTACGAATCGATTAGGAAATGAGAAATAAAGAACAAAACCACATGTAAATAAATAAAAATAATACAAATAAAAAACAAAATCTCATGTGAATAAATATTCAAAAAATACAAATAATATAAATAAAAATAATAAATTAGAATTAAATATACTTTAACGTCCGAGATCGTTTTCGTTTAATTTGCCTTGATTTAAAAATAATAAATTCGTACGAATAAAAAATTATTTACCAGTTGAGATGCCTTGAGTGATTTGAACTTCAAAATGCATGCACCAGCATTCTTTACAGAAAGAATGTCCACACGTGAGAAGAGCGAATCTTTCCGGTGGACAAATAGTAACGCAGACTGTGCAAAATCCACCTCTTTGAATTTTAAGAGCACACGACGGATCTGGCGGATGTAGGGGTTTCACTTTCGAAGTGACGAGAAAATTTGAAGAATTTGTGCGATACTTGGCGAGAACATCTTGCAAAGCCCAATCGTGTGTATGAAGCAGGACTTTGGCTAAGGACGGTGTAATGTGAAGATTATTACTTAAAACCTCAACATTTTCGTTTAATAACCTCTCGACTTCTTCAACTCGAAGACAATCGTGAATTGCGTATTCGGGATCCTTTCGTCCTTGATCCGGATCAACGTCATTGTCAGCTTCGCCTCCCCAAGGTTGAACATTGTAATAGTCCTCATAACCCGTATCTCCACAGTCCGAATCCGAACAATCCATTTCACTATCGTACTCTTCACCCGACATCTAAAAAAAATTTTTTATTTAACAAAATATAAATCACTAGCAAATGATACGCGGTATTCGGTTTCTTAAATTATTTTGAAAATTAAAAAACTTTATATTTTCAAGAATAAACATTAATTTTTGAATGATTATAGATTCAAAATTCATATTATTCAAAAATGTTAATAACATTATTTGCAAGAAATTCATTATTCTCAAAATAATAATAATAATAATAATTAATTAGAGCAATTCAATTATTTTCAAGAATTTTAATATAAATTAAATTATTTTCGACAATTTTGATGAAATTCATTTCAAAACATCATTATTTTCAAAAGTTTTAATAAAATTCCTTCAAAAAGTTCAATTATTTTCAAAAATTCAGATAAAATTCTTCAAAGGAATTGAATTATTTTTATAAATTGTAAAATTCTCGTCAAGAATTCAATTATTATTGTAATATTATTTAAATTCAATTATTTTTAAGAGTTTGATTCAAAATTCATATTATCAAAAAATTTTAATAACGTTTTTTGCAAGAAATTCATTATTCTCATAAATAATAATATTTATTAGAGCAATTAAATTATTTTCAAGAATTTTAGTAAAAATTCAATTATTTTCGACAATTTTGCTGAAATTCTTTTAAAAAAATTATTATTTTCAAAATTTTTAATAAAATTCCTTCAAAAAGTTCAATTATTTTCAAAAATTCAGATAAAATTCTTCAAACCAATTGAATTATTTTTTTGAATTGTAAAATTCTTGTCAAGAATTCAATTATTTTTGTAAATAATAAAATTCTACTGAGAAATTGAATTATTTTCAATACAATTATAATAAAATTTCTCGAAATAATACAATTATTTCTAAAAATATTATTTCAATTCAATTATTTTTAAGAATTTTAATAAGAATTCAATTATTCTCAACAATTTTGATAAAATTCTTCGAAACAATTCAATTATTCCACGTTCAAATTAAATTTTTATTGTAATAAATTTCCGCTTAACTATAAAAAAATTAATTCTCAAGTTTCTAAATGTAAAATTGGTTTTTAATTTTCATTGCAATCAGTAATTTCTGGAAATATTTTTTATAAAAAATATTTTGTTCATTTGAACGTTCAAAACTTGTGATTCATAAATTTTTAATAAAATTCCTTCAAAAAGTTCAATTATTTTCAAAAATTGAGATAAAATTCTTCGAAGCAATTGAATTATTTTTATAAATTGTAAAATTCTCGTCAAGAATTCAATTATTATTGTAATATTATTTAAATTCAATTATTTTCAAGAGTTTTAATAAAAATTCAATTATTTTCCACAATTCTGATAAAATTCTTCGAAACAATTCAATTATTTTTATATAAATTGTAAAATTCTTGTCAAGAATTCAATTATTTTTGTAAATAATAATATTCTACTGAGAAATTCAATTATTTTCAATACAATTATAATAAAATTTCTCGAATGAATATAATTATTTTTAAAAATATTATTTAAATTCAATTATTTTCAAAATTTTCAATTAAAATTATTTTAAAAAACTTCATTATTTTCAAGAAAATTGAAATAAATTCTTCAAAAGAATTAAATTATTTTTAATACAATTTTTATTACATTTTCTCGAAAGAATTCAATTATTGAAAAAATTGTTGATAAAATTCTTGAAATTACTTCAATTATTTTCAAATTTTTTAATAAATAATACTTTGCAAGAATGCAATGATTTTCAGTACATTATTTAAAAGTTGAAAACATTTAAAAATAAAAATTATAATAATTATAATTTTAGATATTCAGTTTTCTCCTTCTATAAAAATTCCACGATTTTTACTGTTCTACAATAACCTCAAATATGAATTGAAATTTTAGTATATCAAATTATTAAAATTCTCTTAATTTTAACGATTGTAACAATCAGAATTTTGTTGAAACAATTCGTAAAATTATTTTCAAATAAATCAAAAACAGAAAAATTTAAATAAAAATTAGATAATACTGTGTATATATAATTAGGTATATAACGTGCACTATCAGTAATTGTCATTCTCTTCCGGTTTGAAATTACTGCAAAATAATTCTTCAAAGATTTTTCAAGTTGCTTTCTTTTATTTTATCAAAATTTCCATCACTCTTTGAATATAAAAGAACTCCATTACAAGTACCCATACAGGCAGGAGAGAATTTCTTTTCACAAATTTACGCTTGGGAGAAAGGGAATCATGATTTATTTTTATTATCGAAATTTTTTCAGGAGTTTTATAGAAAACTAGAGAGAGAGAAATGATTTTCTGAGTTTAATAAAACTTTAGAATTATAATGAATATCATAGAAGTTGGTTTTTTGGTAATTTCAGAAAAGAAAGGGGTATAAAAACCTGAAAATAGTGAATTTTAAGAAAAATTTGTTTCCACTGCGCCACTCTTTTATAATACTTGGTGAAATGAAAGCACATAAACAAAATTTCACAAAATCTTTCTATTATTGTATATCTTTAACGCTGGATTGTAATTTAAACTCACATTTATTGTTTTAATTTGCAATATGTATCAAGAGAAATTCATGGATGATTAAATATTATGAGCAAAACAAATCTGAAAGTAAGAACACTCAACACACAACCTCGTGCAAGTGAACGGCGTGCACACAACTAAATATTTTGGCTTTGTGCATATATTCGTGTGCATTTGTATGTGTGTTGCACTACAGGGGCGTACCTATATTTAAACGTTTTAGAAAAATTGAAAATTTTTAAATTTTTAATTATTCTCTTTGTTGTTCTCTATTTAATACAATTTTTTCACAAGTTTAGTAAATTTTCCTTTCTTTCTAAATATAACAATATATCGTCGAGTTCAAAATAAAATTTTCTTATAATTGTTTTCCACTTTCTCCAAAACCAATTTGACTATATCCGCTACTGGCTATCTGACAATACAAAAGTCATTATCTTTTTGCTATTGTAATAAAATGATGTGTAGATAATTCATCTTTAATATTCTCCTGCTCTATTGATGATAATTATTGAATATTAACTTTTTCCCAATTTTTTGAAACGGAAATTATAGACCGAAAATTCTGTTACTAAACATAGTGGTTCTTATGAGAATAATACAGTGGAGTTTTTATTTTAAAAATTTCTAGATAATAGATAAATCAAAATGGAAGAGATACTTACAGCTTGATGTGCATTGGTGGATACATGTAAATTGCGGAAGAAATTGCTTCCAATAACTTTTCAGTATTTCACAGTCTTTATGGAAATGTTCCTGTTTGAACCATAAGATCGTTATGAATGTAAACGAAGAGTGCGTTATTTGACATAAAATTATTTGTTTTAAAATAATTTTCTAAATTGAAGCTTAAGTAAAATAAGCTTTAATTAGAAGTCACAATGTCCACATTGTCAGTATTAGCCAGTTATGATGAATTGGTTCGATGTACAAATACTCTGGTCAACGGATCATGTGAAGGAGGTTAGTTTTCACCGGCGGTTATTTTCTTATTTTTAATCTTTTTAATCATTTTTAGCATTATTTTATAAACTGCTCGTATAAATTTTTAGTATTTTAATTAACTCACGTATTCAGATTCGTACTGTGAGTATGGTAATAATCAAAATGAAATTTTAGAATTGAAAAATTGCTGAAATTGTTTGAAATTGCTTCTTTTTATTTGTTGTATATTTTTGTATATTTGTATAAATAGCAGACAAGAAATAAGAAATTAGTAATTTAAAATTTATCCACTATGCTATAATTTAGCTTTTTTTATTAGTTTTACATGTAAAGATTGTTAATTTACGATTTTATTCGATTTGTGACTATTTTGAGGTTAGGTACAGTTGAATTTTAATCATATTGTAATTAATTTCTATTGCATTTTTCATTATTTTTTTGTTTCACAGAATTTCTTCAGTTTGCAATAAATCAGGAGGAAATGCGTCAAAAATGGTTGACGTCTGTACAGGAATGTCAACGATTACACGCAGCTTTGGAAAAATCACATCAGGAAGCATCAATTCTTGATAAAATGTTGAGCCACGCAAGAAGATTATTAGACGAAGAGAAAATGAAACGTAGACACGCCGAAGATGAAAGAAATTCTCTTGTAAGTGAATTAAGTGAATTTCCTACGGAAATTTATTTTCAAATTTACTTTTGTTTATTAAGAAGTTTTTAGAATTGTTTTTCTTTTACAGGAAAGACAAATAAAATTAGCAAGAGATCTCTTGTTCAATGATGGCGGAAGAAATATAAATGATGAAACTAGAGAAAAACTACAATTTTTAAATAATGCGTCAATGAATGGATTTCATGGGAACGCGTACGGAAAGGATTATTATACTGATAGGTAATAAAATTTTATTTATTGTTCAATTTATTTATTTATTTTTTATTTACTAATAATTTACTTTTTTAATTACTTAATTTACTTTTTTTTTACTAATGATTTAATGATTTTATTTTCAGATTAAACCCGATAGCGGAGCTGGACTCCACTGCGTCAATTTTAAGTGATTTGAGTTGTTATTCTAAGTCGGAGGACGATTTAGACACGAGTTTTATTCTTCAGCAGAGAAATAAACGCGAATGGAAAGAGCACAGACCTAGTGGGGACTACGGTTTAAAAAAGAGACGAAGTTCTTTGCAGAAAATAGCAGATCGCAATATTTCTGATCGATTGATTGCCAAAACAATTGTTTCGGTGAATAGAGATGGACCGATAACAGCAACTTCTGTTATTGAAACTATTCCCGGCAATGAAAATAAGGATCCTCAAACTCCTTTACATAATTTACGCGGTAGACAGAAAAGTAATGAAAACAAAACGAAAAATTCACCGAGTAAAAAGGATAATAGGAATCCTCTTAAGGTATTTTATTGTTGAGAATATTGTAAAAAGAAACATGTTCTTAATTTGTTGTTTTTTTTAGTCTTCTGGAGAAAATTCATCGGAGTCTGATTCTGAAAATGTCTTTAAACCAAGTCCCAATATCGGTGGCTATACTCTTAGTCCGAAAATTACGAGGGGACACAATTTTAATGTTAAAACTGTCATTAAGCCAGAAATTTGTTCACATTGTGGCAAAAGGTAATTGTGAATTCTTTCTTTCTTGTATAGAGAATTTTATTTTAGACAAATTAATTTACTCTGGAATTTTTCTCATAGAATTCGTTTTGGAAAAGTAGCATTAAAATGTAAAGACTGTCGTGCTAATACTCACGTGGAATGTAAAGAATTTGTTCCACTTCCTTGTATTCCAGCGGGAAATACGCCCACAATGAGAGGCGTTTCGGTAAGAATTATTTAAAATTAAAGATTTTAAATTACAATTTTGAGATTCAATATTTATTCATTATTCGATGTAAATTCGTTATTTATTGTCTATTTTAGGGCACAATCGCGGACTATACACCGATGGTTCCTCCAATGGTACCTTCATTAGTGGTACATTGCATAAACGAAGTAGAACTTCGAGGAATGAGCGAGCAAGGATTGTACAGAGTTAGTGGCGGTTCCGCGGAAGTAAAATTATTAAAAGAAAGATTTCTCAAAGGCAAAGGTGCGCCGAATCTATCGAAAGTTGACATTGCGACAATTTGCTCAACACTCAAGGACTTTCTCCGGTAAATTCTTTTCTAATAAATAATTATTTTCTTTATAATAAACTATAAATAATTACAGACACTTTGAATTTATTTTAGTGAATAAATTAATAATTTTCAAGAAAAATCATTAATAGAACAACAAAATATCTAAAGAAAATATTTAGAAGAAGAATAAGTATTTGTAAAATAAATATTTGTAAAGTATCAAAAAGAAGTAAAAAAACTAAAAGCTAAAAAAAGCCGAAAAGGAAGAAAAAAATAAAAAGACCAAAAAGAAATATTATTTATAAAATAACGTTTTTTATTTTATTTTCAGATCTTTAAAAGAACCTATAATTACCGTTGGATTATGGGCAGATTTCGTACGCGCTGTCGCTTTATCAGATAAACAGGATTCGGACGCTGCGCTGTATCAAGCGATTTCGGAACTTCCACAACCGAATCGTGACACTCTTGCTTTTCTAATTTTACATTTACAACGTGTATCGAGCAGTCCTGAGTGTAAAATGCCAATTAGTAATCTTGCCAAAGTTTTTGGTCCAACTTTAGTTGGTTACAGTTGTCAGGAACCGTCCGTCATGTCGATGCTCAGCGAAACAAAAAATCAAGCTGCTGTAAATAAGTTTTCTTTTCTAATTCGAAAATCAATAGTTGATAATTTCAAATTATAATTTTATAATTAATTTAATTTTCTTTTTTTATAGATCGTCGAAAGTTTGTTAAGAATTCCTTCTGATTATTGGGCTAATTTTGTGAATTCGGATAGTACTCATGAAACTGGAACACCACAAACTGGAGAATTGAGACACACGCCTTCAACTGAATCACTATTTAAACATTCAACGTCTAGGGGATTCTTTCATACTCCATTAAATTCAAGGTTTGCATTTTTATACTGTCGAAATTTATATTTATTTATTTTTTTATATTATTAAAATTTATATTTATTTATTTTTTTTTACCATAAAAATTTATATTTATTTATTTTTTTCTACCATTAAAATTTATATTCATTTATTTTTTATATCATCAAAATTTACATGGATTTATTTTCTATATCATCAAAATTTATATTTATTTATTAATTTTTTTTAATATGAATAAAACATGAAAATAAAATAATAATGGTTAATAATGTTTTGGTTTTAGTCGCTCGTTCCTGAGGAAGAATAAAAAATACTTCGTCACTCCAACATCGAAGGAAATCTTGTAAGAGACTGATTATTTAGCTGAATAATATATTTGGATGAATACAGTATTTATTTTTATATTGCAAATTAAGTGCCTTGCACAATTGACAATAATAGTTTTAATTTCTTTTTTTTTACAATCGTGCGAGTTGCTTAAAGAAAAAAAAATGTAAGACGTGTAAAAACTGTTGAGTGATACAAAAATTTTGTAAGCAGTCATTTTGAAAGATTTCAGTTAGATTTTTTTATTCTAAGAGCAATTATAATCTTGAAATAAATTTTGCGGAGAAATAAAATTAATTTAATAATGTTAAAAAATAATTCATTTGGTTTATTTATTTATAATCGTTGGGTATATTTTATTTATAATCGATGGGTTTATTTATTTATAATTAATAATTAATGGGTATCTTTATTTACAATAAAGAAATTATAATAAAGAATATTATTAGAAATATAATAATTTATTATTAATTTATAACTTACATTATAAATTATTTAAATTATTTTGTTGGAAAGAAACGGCAAAGGAGTCAAATTTCGCGCGCTTTTTTCATAAATAAAAAGTGTGGATAAACCCTTAAAATGTCATTCCAACGTGTGTGCAGAACTTTATGAGTATAGAGAGGTTAGTTTTTAACTTGAAACTTTTTAGATAAGCCGATTGATATTGTTTTGAAAATATATTTTTTTTATTATATAATTAATATTAAAAGAAAATATGTCAGATAGTTCAGATGATGAATCAATATTCGATGAAGCGTTTAAACGGTCCAAAAGGATATTTTATAGAGACAGAAACGAATGGCGAGATGTTGTTCCCGTACCTCAGGATGATGGTCCGGAACCTATTGTTTCTATCCCCTATTCGGAAAAATGTAAGGTTTTCTTTTTGATTATAATATTGAAAATCTTGATTTGTTACTCTTTGCTAAACGTTCAGTAATTTATACGAATTTCTTTGGTTCATTCAGAAAAAAGAGCGGCACTAAGATACATAACCTTTCTTTTGTGTTTTTCTTTATTTTTCTGTTTTTTCTGACTTATTTTCTTGTATTTATTGCATTTATTTACTTTTAAATTTTCCAAATGAGTCAACTTTTAAATATTTTGAAAATTTTCTGTAAAATTGCTAAAAATTAACAAGTTTTTTAACATTGTTATATTGTTGTTATTACGAATAGAGTATTGTTATCTTTTTTTGTTATAATAATAAATGTAATAAATCGTAATAAGCTTGATTATTAATCTTTAATTATTAATATTAATATTAATATAAATATTAATTTTGCTCTATTTTCAATTCGGTTTTTTTCATTTACAGTCAAGGATGCTTTCGACTATTTTAGAGCAGTTTTAAAATCAGGAGAAAAATCACAAAGAGCATTGGAATTAACTTTAGACTGTGCTAATTTAAATCCAGCAAATTACACTGTTTGGACGTACAGGAGAGAGATTCTTAAATCATTAGGCAGTGATCTCGAGAAGGAATTGAAATGTATAAATTTTTTGATGAAGAAGAATTCGAAAAACTATCAACTTTGGCATCACAGGCAGGTCATTGTGGAATTGCTGAAGGATCCCAGTTATGAATTAGAATTCACTGCAATGATATTAAAATTGGACGCTAAAAATTATCACGCCTGGCAGCATCGTCAATGGGTTATTAGAACATTTAAGTAAGTTATTTTATTAATTTCAATGATTATCATCAAACAATAACTGAAGTTACCAAAGTTTCTGTCGACGAAGAACAAGATTGACACAGGTCAGGGAAATCAGGGGAAAGTCGGGGATTTTTATTAAAAGTACAGGATGAAATTAAATTTTTCGAATTCATAAGAAAATTCTGAATTTTTGTGTCTTTTTTGTTTGCCTCATAAATTATTTATTGAATTTTAAAAGAGTTACATTTACAATTTTCATAAATAAATGAATAATATATAATAAACTAGCCAAACTATCCGCGCGCAAGCGCGCGGGAATGTTGTATGGGGCTGCTTATTTTAAACAATTTAAAAAATTTTAAAGAAATAATTATTATAACCTAAAAAAGAGATTTAACTAACTAAAATTTAAATAATTTCACTCAATGGTCTCAATTTAAATAGAATTTACATTACTAGACTTAAACTATGGCTAGAACAATTACAATTAGTATCTGGGTCATCTTTTGCATTGCTTATTTTATAAAGCCATTTTAAATTAAATACTTTTCAAAGAAATAATAATTATTACACAATGAAAAAAGTTTTACTTGAAATAGCGATAAGTTTCTCTAGAATAACGAAAGTATTAATTGAAGCACTGAAAAATTTCGCTACTAAAGTGAAATCTGTAGTTCATCCAGCTAAATATTTTTTGCCGTGCATAACGAAAAAAGAATTAAATTAACATCAGATTTTCTACATTAAAAAAAAAACGAATTCAAATAGAAATTAATCATTTTACAACTTAACCAAATTCACCACAGAAATCACTGAATTCGATAATTTAGAAGAAAGTCAGACAAAAGCAGGGTTCCTACAGAATCTGGAAAATCATGAAAATGGTATGGAATTTTTAAAAGGCTTCTGGAAATCAGGAAAATCATGAAAAAGGCCTGGAATTTTTAAAAGTTTCTAAATTTTTTCAGTTTTCCATTTTTTCTCTTGAATAAAAATTCAAATAATAATAAAGCTAAATGGTATAAAAGACAAAAAAAAATGTTGAATTTTAAGCAATTCAATTTTTCGGATTTTTGATAATTTTTAATAATTTTTGATTTTTTACCAAAGAGTCGAGACAATTTAATAGGTAAAGTATTTTCCAAAAGCACAAAAATAATGAAGCTAAATCGCATAAAAGAGAGGAAAAAATGTTGAATTTTAAGAAAAACGGATTTTTGAATTTTTTCGAATTTTCGATAATTTTAGATTTTTTACCAAAGAGTCGAGACAATTTAATAAGTAAAGTATTTTCCAAAAGCACAAAAATAATGAAGCTAAATCCCGTAAAAGAGAAGAAAAAATGTTGAATTTTAAGGAATTTGGATTTTTGAATTTTTTCGAATTTTTGATAATTTTAGATTTTTTACCAAAGAGTCGAGACTATTGAATAAGTAAAGTATTTTCCAAAAGCACAAAAATAATGAAGCTAAATCCCATAAAAGAGAGGAAAAAATGTTGAATTTTAAGAAAAACGGATTTTTGAATTTTTTCGAATTTTTGATAATTTTAGATTTTTTACCAATGATTCGAGACAATTTAATAAGTAAAGTATTTTCCAAAAGCACAAAAATAATGAAGCTAAATCCCATAAAAGAGAAGAAAAAATGTTGAATTTTAAGAAATTTGGATTTTTGAATTTTTTCGAATTTTTGATAATTTTAGATTTTTTACCAATGATTCGAGACAATTTAATAAGTAAAGTATTTTCCAAAAGCACAAAAATAATGAAGCTAAATCCCATAAAAGAGAAGAAAAAATGTTGAATTTTAAGAAATTTGGATTTTTGAATTTTTTCGAATTTTTGATAATTTTAGATTTTTTACCAAAGAGTCGAGACTATTGAATAAGTAAAGTATTTTCCAAAAGCACAAAAATAATGAAGCTAAATCCCATAAAAGAAAGGAAAAAATGTTGAATTTTGAGAAATTCGGATTTTTGAATTTTTTCGAATTTTTGATAATTTTAGATTTTTTACCAAAGAGTCGAGACTATTAAATAAGTAAAGTATTTTCCAAAAGCACAAAAATAATGAAGCTAAATCCCATAAAAGAAAGGAAAAAATGTTGAATTTTAAGAAAAACGGATTTTTGAATTTTTGATAATTTTCGATAATTTAGATTTTTTACCAAAGAGTCGAGACAATTTAATAAGTAAAGTATTTTCCAAAAGCACAAAAATAATGAAGCTAAATCCCATAAAAGAGAAGAAAAAATGTTGAATTTTAAGAAATTTGGATTTTTGAATTTTTTCGAATTTTTGATAATTTTAGATTTTTTACCAAAGAGTCGAGACTATTGAATAAGTAAAGTATTTTCCAAAAGCACAAAAATAATGAAGCTAAATCCCATAAAAGAGAGGAAAAAATGTTGAATTTTAAGAAAAACGGATTTTTGAATTTTTTCGAATTTTTGATAATTTTAGATTTTTTACCAATGATTCGAGACAATTTAATAAGTAAAGTATTTTCCAAAAGCACAAAAATAATGAAGCTAAATCCCATAAAAGAGAAGAAAAAATGTTGAATTTTAAGAAATTTGGATTTTTGAATTTTTTCGAATTTTTGATAATTTTAGATTTTTTACCAATGATTCGAGACAATTTAATAAGTAAAGTATTTTCCAAAAGCACAAAAATAATGAAGCTAAATCCCATAAAAGAAAGGAAAAAATGTTGAATTTTGAGAAATTCGGATTTTTGAATTTTTTCGAATTTTTGATAATTTTAGATTTTTTACCAAAGAGTCGAGACTATTAAATAAGTAAAGTATTTTCCAAAAGCACAAAAATAATGAAGCTAAATCCCATAAAAGAAAGGAAAAAATGTTGAATTTTAAGAAAAACGGATTTTTGAATTTTTGATAATTTTCGATAATTTAGATTTTTTACCAAAGAGTCGAGACAATTTAATAAGTAAAGTATTTTCCAAAAGCACAAAAATAATGAAGCTAAATCCCATAAAAGAGAAGAAAAAATGTTGAATTTTAAGAAATTTGGATTTTTGAATTTTTTCGAATTTTTGATAATTTTAGATTTTTTACCAAAGAGTCGAGACTATTAAATAAGTAAAGTATTTTCCAAAAGCACAAAAATAATGAAGCTAAATCCCATAAAAGAGAAGAAAAAATGTTGAATTTTAAGAAATTCGGATTTTTGAATTTTTGATAATTTTCGATAATTTTAGATTTTCTACCAAAGAGTCGAGACAATTTAATAAGTAAAGTATTTTCCAAAAGCACAAAAATAATGAAGCTAAATCCCATAAAAGAGAAGAAAAAATGTTGAATTTTAAGAAATTTGGATTTTTGAATTTTTTCGAATTTTTGATAATTTTAGATTTTTTACCAAAGAGTCGAGACTATTAAATAAGTAAAGTATTTTCCAAAAGCACAAAAATAATGAAGCTAAATCCCATAAAAGAGAAGAAAAAATGTTGAATTTTAAGAAATTTGGATTTTTGAATTTTTTCGAATTTTTGATAATTTTAGATTTTTTACCAAAGAGTCGAGACTATTAAATAAGTAAAGTATTTTCCAAAAGCACAAAAATAATGAAGCTAAATCCCATAAAAGAGAAGAAAAAATGTTGAATTTTAAGAAATTTGGATTTTTGAATTTTTTCGAATTTTTGATAATTTTAGATTTTTTACCAAAGAGTCGAGACTATTAAATAAGTAAAGTATTTTCCAAAAGCACAAAAATAATGAAGCTAAATCCCATAAAAGAAAGGAAAAAATGTTGAATTTTGAGAAATTCGGATTTTTGAATTTTTGATAATTTTCGATAATTTTAGATTTTTTACCAAAGAGTCGAGACAATTTAATAAGTAAAGTATTTTCCAAAAGCACAAAAATAATTAAGCTGAATCCCATAAAAGAGAAGAAAAAAAGTTTGATTTTTAGAAATTTGGATTTTTGAATTTTTTCGAATTTTTGATAATTTTAGATTTTTTACCAAAGATTCGAGACTATTAAATAAGTAAAGTATTTTCCAAAAGCACAAAAATAATGAAGCTAAATCCCATAAAAGAGAGGAAAAAATGTTGAATTTTAAGAAAAACGGATTTTTGAATTTTTTCGAAATTTTGATAATTTTAGATTTTTTACCAATGATTCGAGACAATTTAATAAGTAAAGTATTTTCTAAAAGCACAAAAAAATTAAGCTAAATCCCATAAAAGAGAAGAAAAAATGTTGAATTTTAAGAAAATCGGATTTTTGAATTTTTGATAATTTTAGATTTTTTACCAAAGAGTCGAGACTATTAAATAAGTAAAGTATTTTCCAAAAGCACAAAAATAATGAAGCTAAATCCCATAAAACAGAAGAAAAAATGTTGAATTTTAAGAAATTTGGATTTTTGATTTTTTCGAATTTTTTATAATTTTAGATTTTTTACCAAAGAGTCGAAACTATTAAATAAGTAAAGTATTTTCCAAAAGCACAAAAATAATGAAGCTAAATCCCATAAAAGAGAAGAAAAAATGTTGAATTTTAAGAAATTTGGATTTTTGAATTTTTTCGAATTTTTGATAATTTTAGATTTTTTACCAAAGAGTCGAGACTATTAAATAAGTAAAGTATTTTCCAAAAGCACAAAAATAATGAAGCTAAATCGCATAAAAGAAAGGAAAAAATGTTTAATTTTAAGAAATTTGGATTTTTGAATTTTTTCGAATTTTTGATAATTTTAGATTTTTTACCAAAGAGTCGAGACTATTAAATAAGTAAAGTATTTTCCAAAAGCACAAAAATAATGAAGCTAAATCCCATAAAAGAAAGGAAAAAATGTTGAATTTTGAGAAATTCGGATTTTTGAATTTTTGATAATTTTCGATAATTTTAGATTTTTTACCAAAGAGTCGAGACAATTTAATAAGTAAAGTATTTTCCAAAAGCACAAAAATAATTAAGCTAAATCCCATAAAAGAGAAGAAAAAATGTTGAATTTTAAGAAATTTGGATTCTTGAATTTTTTCGAATTTTTGATAATTTTAGATTTTTTACCAAAGAGTCGAGACTATTAAATAAGTAAAGTATTTTCCAAAAGCACAAAAATAATGAAGCTAAATCCCATAAAAGAGAGGAAAAAATGGTGAATTTTAAGAAAATCGGATTTTTGAATTTTTTCAAATTTTTGATAATTTTAGATTTTTTACCAATGATTCGAGACAATTTAACAAGTAAAGTATTTTTTAAAAGCACAAAAATAATGAAGCTAAATCCCATAAAAGAGAAGAAAAAATGTTGAATTTTAAGAAAATCGGATTTTTGAATTTTTTCGAATTTTTGATAATTTTAGATTTTTTACCAAAGAGTCGAGACTATTAAATAAGTAAAGTATTTTCCAAAAGCACAAAAATAATGAAGCTAAATCCCATAAAAGAGAAGAAAAAATGTTGAATTTTGAGATATTTGGATTTTTGAATTTTTTCGAATTTTTGATAATTTTAGATTTTTTACCAAAGATTCGAGACAATTTAATAAGTAAAGTATTTTCCAAAAGCACAAAAACAATGAAGCTAAATCCCATAAAAGAGAAGAAAAAATGTTGAATTTTAAGAAATTTGGATTTTTGAATTTTTTCGAATTTTTGATAATTTTAGATTTTTTACCAAAGAGTCGACACTATTAAATAAGTAAAGTATTTTCCAAAAGCACAAAAATAATGAAGCTAAATCCCATAAAAGAGAAGAAAAAATGTTGAATTTTAAGAAATTCGGATTTTTGAATTTTTGATAATTTTCGATAATTTTAGATTTTTTACCAAAGAGTCGAGACAATTTAATAAGTAAAGTATTTTCCAAAAGCACAAAAACAATAAAGCTAAATCCCATAAAAGAGAAGAAAAAATGTTGAATTTTAAGAAATTTGGATTTTTGAATTTTTTCGAATTTTTGATAATTTTAGATTTTTTACCAAAGAGTCGAGACTATTAAATAAGTAAAGTATTTTCCAAAAGCACAAAAATAATGAAGCTAAATCCCATAAAAGAGAGGAAAAAATGTTGAATTTTAAGAAAAACGGATTTTTGAATTTTTTCGAATTTTTGATAATTTTAGATTTTTTACCAATGATTCGAGACAATTTAATAAGTAAAGTATTTTCCAAAAGCACAAAAATAATGAAGCTAAATCCCATAAAAGAGAAGAAAAAATGTTGAATTTTAAGAAAATCGGATTTTTGAATTTTTTCGAATTTTTGATAATTTTAGATTTTTTACTAATGATTCGAGACAATTTAATAAGTAAAGTATTTTCCAAAAGCACAAAAAAAAATGAAGCTAAATCCCATAAAAGAGAAGAAAAAATGTTGAATTTTAAGAAAATCGGATTTTTGAATTTTTTTGAATTTTTGATAATTTTAGATTTTTTACCAAAGAGTCGAGACAATTTAATAAGTAAAGTATTTTCTAAAAGCACAAAAATAATGAAGCTAAATCCCATAAAAGAGAAGAAAAAATGTTGAATTTTAAGAAATTTGAATTTTTGAATTTTTTCGAATTTTTGATAATTTTAGATTTTTTACCAAAGAGTCGAGACTATTAAATAAGTAAGGTTTTTTCCAAAAGCACAAAAATAATGAAGCTAAATCCCATAAAAGAGAGGAAAAAATGTTGAATTTTAAGAAAAACGGATTTTTGAGTTTTTTCGAATTTTTAATAATTTTAGATTTTTTACCAATGATTCGAGACAATTTAATAAGTAAAGAATTTTCCAAAAGCACAAAAATAATGAAGCTAAATCCCATAAAAGAGAAGAAAAAATGTTGAATTTTAAGAAAATCGGATTTTTGAATTTTTTCGAATTTTTGATAATTTTAGATTTTTTACCAATGATTCGAGACAATTTAATAAGTAAAGTATTTTCCAAAAGCACAAAAAAAATTAAGCTAAATCCCATAAAAGAGAAGAAAAAATGTTGAATTTTAAGAAAATCGGATTTCCAATTATCTTCACAAATAGTATAATTTTTAACCAGAATTTAATTATTTAAAAACATTTTTATAAAATTCATCCCGAAAATTCAATTATATTAATAAATAATAAAACTCATTGCAAAATTTTAATTATTTTAAAAAATTTTCAATTCTTTGGAAATTATTTAATTCTTATAAAGAATTGTATCAAAATTCTTAAGAATAATTGAATTTTTTCAAAGAATTTCATTAAAATTTTAATAATTGTTATTGAATCTCATCGACAATTTTTTTTAATTGTATTAAAATTAATGGAATTTCTACGAAAAAGTTTTATTAAAACTTTTGAAAATATTTGAATTTCTGTAAAAATTTTTATACTTATGAAAATAATTGAATACTTGCCAAGAATTTTATTAAGATTTTTTAAAATAATTGAATTTCTTCAAAGATTTTTATTATTTAATAAACATATTTAAATTCTTTAAAAAAAAATTATTAAAATTTCTGAAAGTAATTGGAAGATTTGCAAAGAATTTTATTTTTCATTTAGGTATGACAAGAATTTTATTAAAATTTTTAAAAATAATTGAATTTCTCCGAATTTTTTTACAGGAATTTAATTATTTTTGAAAATCTTAATAAAATTCTTCCCAAGAATTCAATTATTTTTTAAAAATTTTAATCAAATTCCTGGAAAAATGTAATTATTCTTAAAAATTTTATTAAAATTGTCAAAAGAATTCAATTATTTCAAAATTTATCGATAAAATTCTTTATGAGAATTAAATTTTAAGGAACATTAAATTATACCTCCAATAAATTATTTACTTTTGAATTTAAATAATTGAATTCTCGTAGGATTTTCTAATAAAAATTAATTTAAAAGTGAGTGTCAGTTAAAGTTTTAGATAATAATTGAATATTAAAAGCATTATAGCAGGAATTTTGATCAATAATTGATAGAATTAATTTTTTTTGAAAAAGTTCAATACAATTTTAATCGAATTCCTTGAAAAAAATTATGCTTAACAATTTTATTAAAATTTTTCGAAAGAATTCAATTGTTTTGATAAAAAACAGAATTCTCCCAGAAATTCAGTTATTTTTAGGAATTTTAATAAATTTTTTTTGCAAAATTCAATTATTTTCATAAAAAATAATAAACTTATTAGCAGAATTCAATTATTCAAAAAATTGTTTTAGAAAGTCGTCAAGAATTCAATTATTTTTAAAAATTTGAATAAAATTCTAATCAAAATTTCAATTACTTTCAAAAGTAATAAAATTCTTCACAGAAATTCAGTTACCTTCAAAAATTTTTTTAAATTCTCGTTAAAATTTTAATTACCTTTATAAATAATAAAATTTTTCTCCGAAATTCAATTATTTACAAAAATTTTAAGATTTTTAATTTAATTTCGTCGGCCTAAACTTAAGTAACTTTAGTAACTGTTTTAATTAATTTTTGTGAATATAATTTATAATTATTTAAACACTTGCTTTAAATTTTATTCTCTTTTTTGTTAAAGTTTATATGATAAGGAAATAGAGTACGTCGAAGAGTTACTATTAGAAGATGTGCGAAATAATTCAGCCTGGAATCAGCGTTATTTCGTATTAGATAATACAACAAAATTTGAGCCAGAGATTATTGATCGTGAAATTGATTTTGCCATAAGTAAAATTCATATTGTTAAAGGAAATGAGAGCCCTTGGAGTTATTTGAAAGGGTAAGTTATTTATTAATTATTAATTAAATTAATAATTGATCTTTCTTTATTTTCATTATTAAGTTGTATTTTTCCAAAGAAACATTTTTTATTTTTTTGAATTTATGAAATACTGGTAAATATTTCAAGAAATAAATACTAAATTCTTTCATTTAATTTCAGAATTTTAATGAATGATCCCAAGGGTTTAGGCTATAATGAAAAAGTAATGAAGTTATGTCAACAATTGTACTCCGAAGGTTGTAGAGTAAATCATTTACTCGCTTGTATAATTGACATTTGTCAGGAAAGGCATAAAGAAAACGATCCACCAGATTCACTATTTAACGTCGATAATGCTCTTAAGGTATAATTAATTTATTAATTATAATTAACTAATTCATAGTTTTTTTTCGTTAAATGAAAAAGAAAATAATTCTAAACAGAAATATTTATATTTTTTCGAAAATAAAATTTTATTTATTTTCAGCTTTGCATAGATTTAGCGGACAAATATGATGTTATAAGAAAGAAATATTGGGAATTTATAAGTGACCAACTAAAGGAAAGTTTCAATGAGTGTTCAACTACAGTGTAAAGTAAGTCTTTTTTTTATTATTTTTTTTGTATGTTACCCTGAAAAATCGAATCAAGTGATTAAAATTCTTTTTATACAAACAAAAAGTTTTTTATACGAAAATATTTCAATATATTCTTACGCCTATTATAAGTTCAGTAGTGATAGTAAAAATGAACAAAAGAAAAATATGTGTTATACTGTAAAAAAAAATGAAAAGTGGGTGAATTGAATATAATTTATACAGAAGGAAAAAAATAATCTGTACAGATTAAATTTAGCTTGCGATTCCATTTTGATTGTACAGCAAAAAGATGTCTATCGTATAAAATGTGATTGCAATATACGTGATGTATGAAAAATTGTTATTGATGGCCTTCTTCATTTAATAAGATTCTGAATCTTTTCGAAACTTTTTTTTTTGAATAATTTAAATTTTTCTTCTGTTCGAAAATTTTCTTTTTTTTTGTTGACGATTTTAAATAGCAAACTTAAGAACTCAATGCTACGAAAAAAATATCGATAATTTATAAAAAACAAAATTGAAAAAAATGGTCTTTTCTCAAAATAAAGTAGTCAGAGGAACATTAATTATCTGTTTATTTATAAATTGTTACATAATCGCACGTATGATACCAAGTAAAGAAATCTGTTAATAATTTTTTTTTTAATTGCGATGCTATTACAGATTTTTGTAAATTAAAAAAAGAAATGATTTTAAAGAATGCCACTGCGCAGTGGCACTTTTGAATTTCAAGTGAAATTATTTTCAATAGCTTCTGGAATTTCTAAAATTATGGAAATTATAATTATGAGATTATGTTGATATGATATTTTCACAAGGATGTCTCCTTGAGGCATTCTCAATTAGGCGTTTAAAGCACAAAAGCGATTTTCGTTGCGGTAGACAAGCGACGGCAGTGACTGCATTAATTAGTCACACACAAAAAAAATATAAATTAAAAAAACGCATTTATAAATCACAGTAGATTTGCTATTTTTTTTCTCTTCAAAATAATTTAAATACATATTTAATTTTATTATTTTCTATTCACTTAAAAATTATTTTTTTTTACTATCTCCAATTTTCCTCTCTCTGACAATATTTGTGGCCTCTTTGAATTTATAAGCTTTGCTTATTTGTTTGGCAGGTTTTTTTTTACGAATTTATCAATTTTAATATTTAATTTATTATTATTGAATAAACTTTTACTTTTAATTTATTATTTTTTTAGTGAATTTCTTTAAAATGTTTCCAATTGTGTAAAATATTTCCATGAAGAAGAATATTATTAATATGGAATTAAGAAGTTATGTTCTTGTTCTATATTCGTAAATATGAAATAATATCCATAATTCCAAATTAATAATAAAATAGGAAATTGATTAGGAAATTGATTTAAACAAATTATTTCTTTTTTTTAGAAATAGTTAGTTTCGTATAATCGAAAATCTGAAATTTTTACTTTCATTTAGTAATTTTTTTATTCATTACAATTAAAAAGTGAATCTTTAAAAACATCCAAGTGCTAGTTATTCTAATCAAATCAAATTCAATCTTGAGATTCTTTTTCTTATTTTTCTTTTGTCCCGTGCCATTTTTGAAGCCATTGACAATTTTTTTGTTTAAGGGATAAACATTTTTGTTATTTTTTACACATTTTTGGCACTTGAAGGACAGAATAAATTTAATATGAAAAATTAATTTACTTTAATTTAATTTAATTTGAAAAACTTTTTCAAATTTTTTTTTTACTTTTAAATTTAAAAGTATAATTAAGAAATTTTCATTTTTGGAATTGTGGAAAAATTAAAAATTCAACTGAAATTCTTTTGTATATTTTGAAAAATTGTCTATCCCTTTGATTGGTAGCAATATTTTGGTTTGCAGAATCTGATTTTTTTCGGTACAAATCAAAAATTTCTTTTCTATAATTTTTGCTTCCTCGCGAGGAATCTTTGTATTTTTATCTATTATAATTTTAATACAGGCTTCTTTTTATTTATATTTTTATATTGTAATCTATCACTATAACAGTTACTGTAATTTTACAGAAATTACAGCAAACACCTGCATTATAATTATTATAACAAACAAATTTATGATTTGTATTTATATACATTTATAATTTTCTCTCTCTTTTTTTTTGCGTAAATTATTATTTATCGGTCTTTTAAATACTATCTGTTTAATATTGATATAATGACAGTTTTGACAATATGATAGTATTTTATATATTATTCTCTCTTTTTTTCTCTCTCTCGCTCGGGCGATTTTTTTTTTGTTTTTCGAATATCGTTCAATAATATACTTTTTTTTACGTATACAGCCACTACGACGGCCTCAGAACTTTGGGATTTCACAAAATGCCTCTAAAAGACACTCTTAATTATTGTATATTGGTGAGGAGGATTTTTGTACGGTATTTAAAGTAGTTTGGGAAATAATTGTTATACAATAAAAATAGATTCGATCTGCTTATGTTTTAATTTTTTTTATAAAGAAAGTAATTCGATTTCAATTTGTTTTTTTTTTGAAGAAAATACAGAGAATTTCTTTCTCTCTCTCTCTTATTTTATTTCTTTTTGTTACTTAATTCGGTAATCGAGTTGAGGCCAAAATTGGATACGTTCAAGTATGAAATTTGATTGTAAGAAAAATAAGCGGTTATATTGACGAAAAGGAAAGAAAAAAAATATTTACAGATTTTCTTTTTTTGCAAATTTTTATTAGTTTTTTTTCAGCATTTTATTTATCCGATTAAAAGACTATTTTGAAATTTAGAAAAATAAATCAGTATTTTTTTGTATTGAAATTTATCTAAAATGGTAAAGAATAATTTAGAAACAGAAATAAAATAGAAAAATTCAAATTATAATGAAAAAAATATGGAAAATTTAATTTAGAATGAAAATAGAATTTGAAAATTTAATTTATAGTGGAAATATAATTGAAAAATTCAATTTGTGGTTTGTAGTAAAAATTAAAATTGAAAAATGTGATTTACAGTAAAAATAAAGTAGAAAAGTTCAATTTTCAGTAAAAATAAAATTCGAAGATTTTGCAGTAAAAATAAAATTCGAAAATTTGTAGTTTGTAGTAAAAATTAAAATTGAAAAATGTAATTGACAGTAAAAATAAAATAGAAAAGTTCAATTTTCAGTAAAAATAAAATTCGAAGATTTAATTTGCAGTAAAAATAAAATTCGAAAATTTGTAGTTTGTAGTAAAAATTAAAATAGAAAAATGAAATTTACAGTAAAATTAAATTCGAATATTTGATTTGTAGTAAAACTAAAATTGAAAAGTTCAATTTTGCGGTAAAAATAAAATTCGAAAATTTAATTTCTAGTAAAAATAAAGTTAGAAAATTTATTTTGTAGTAAAAATAAAATTGAAAAATTTAATTTAATAGTAAAATTGAAAAATTTAATTTTGCATCAGAAAAAATAAACTTTGAAAATTTAATTAACAAAATAAAAATAGAATTGAAAAAATGAAATTATAATTTAAACAGTGGATTTTCATATCGTATTGACTATATTCTAACATTTAACAATCAACATTCAAACACACCCGTTCAATGGAAACACGGAAACGATTTTTCCCGGATGATGTTTAAAAATTTATTTTCCCCTCTTTCATTTTTTTTTTTGTAATTTTAACGGATAAATAACACTTTTCATTGTTTCGAAATATATATATGTGTGGCGGTAATTAAAAGTACAAACAGCTTTGCCGGTAAATTCCGTTTCCATTATGGCCTCGACGAGTTTGTTAAAGGTAATATCAGGGATTTTATACATATACAATAATACATCGTCGACTTACATTGAAAATATATCGCCATATGGATATTATCATATATTTAATTATTTTTAAAATTCTTTACAATTAACGTCATATAATCGATTTGCGCTTTTTCTCTCTCATATTAAACTCGTGATAACCAAACGGCTTCTGAGTATTATTATTTGTTTTTTTTGCTAATAATTTTCGATTCAGAATAGTGTTTAACTTTTTATTTTTTTTATTTTTATGAATAAATAATAATTTAATTAATTAAGGAGATGGATATATTTTTTTTTAATCGAGAGTCGAGGACTCTGATCTCAAATGCCGTGAGGTATTTATTTGTTATTGTTAAACTATTTTATTTTGTTTTTTTTGTTGTAAATTCTATAATTTTGTTTACACATATACATAGTCTATGTTTGGACCATCTGTCAGCCATTAAAAGCACAGCCCGACCAAAAGTTTTTTTATTATTATTATTAAGTTTGCAATTTTTCCTTAAAGTTGATTTCTTTCCTGCGATTTTTCAAAGGTGAGACGATTTAGTTCAGTGAAATATTTTCATTCAGAGAAGTAAAAGATTTATTTATTTATTATTTTTCTTATTTCCTTTTTTTTATTTATTTACTACTTTACATAATTTAGTAAATAATATTTAATAAATACTGTAAAATAATAAACAAATAAATAGTAATTTAAAATTTTTAAATTCAAATTCAAAGAAATTTTTATTTTTTGAGAATTTTTTTTCGATAAAGTTTTATAATTTCAAATTTTTTATTGAAATTTAATTATTCGTTGCTAATAATATTTTGAATAATTTGATAAAATAAAGTAAAAAATTAGAAAAATGAATTAAAAAATCAATGATAAATTAAATTAATTGATAAAATTAATATAATAAAATAGAAAATTAAAAAATAGAGAAATAAAGACAAAAATTAAAAAGGCGAAAAATAAATTAAAAAATCCGTATTAAATAAAATTAATTGATAAAAAATACAACTACTTACTAATAGATTAATTAAATAAAGTAGAAATTAAAAAAAAATGTAATAATTAATAATAAAAATTTTCCCTGTGAAATTTAAATAATAATTTCTCGTGAAAATATTTTCACTGAATTATATCGTTTGACATTTCTTTTGTATTTTTTTTAATACAGTTAGAAAATAGTATAGTTCCATTGGAGAAAAGATTTTTCTTTCTTTTTTTGTCAAGTTAAA